GCTTCGTTTTCAGCCATCGGAGTACCCATCCGTGCCCGCGCCAAAGGTCATTCCGGCGAAAGGTCACTCTTACGTCTATGTAGTCGAATCCCGAGTCCGGGCCACAGGGCCGTCCAGGGGCTGCCCAAGCTGCAGAGCCGGCCCAGGGGGGGGGGCGGACCGAGAGTTCCGGGAGGACCTCGGCTGCCCCGAGGAGCAGCACGCAACCGGCAGCGTGTCGACACGGGAGCTCAAGCGTAGACTCAGGTCGGGCCTGTCCCCCTGCAGGGGGAGCTTTGAGGACAAGTCATGAGTGGTCAAAACATAATCCAGAAATTCTCACAAACACTAAAAAGATAGTCCCCAAACCATTTTTTTCACTATTTTGAAATACTCCTCCTTTAGAGGGACACGCCCGACTTGAGCGTAGACTGCTGAAGGCGCAGGCCAGGCGCGACGCGCCCGCGAAGACGTGGGCCAACACGTGCCCGGCCAGCACGCAGCGTGAGAGCACGGACGTCTTGAATGCGGCACGCATGGGGTTTCACGGCATCTTTACAAGCCCACCACTTGCCGTCGCTCGGACGTCCATTCCCTGTGCGTTTTGTCGTTTTTGTGAGTCTTTTTCTTCCTCGAGGATCCAGGATGCTCTTCGATGATCCTCGCCGAGAGAAAATGCACACGCCCGAGCGATGCCAAGACCACGACGTGTTCTCAGAACCTCCCGAAAACGTTCTGAGACTAAGAGCAGAGACGCTGTTCTCAGACCATCAGCCCCGAGGTGCTTGACACGAGGCGCTGCCCGCCAGACATCTTCTGAGAACGTGCCGTGCGGACCGCAGGAGGCTCTCAGAACATCCCCTGGCGAGCCCAGCTCGGCGAGCCAGGACGCTTCGCCGCCGCTTGACCAACCGGCGCGCCACGCGCTCCACGCGCTGCGCGAGGTCCGGGGCAGAGGCAGTGGGCCACCGAGGATCGAGACCCAGACCCCCTCGGGTCACGGACAGCACCGCGACAGGGCGTGGCGCTCCGCCATGTTCGGCTCCCATGGGGGCCCGTGCCAGGCCTCGGGGCCGTCAACCAACGGCTCGGGAGGCGTCGAGGCCTGCCATCGCTCGGACGTGCATCCCCCGGGCACCCGTCGGCTTCGCGCGTGCCTCCTCTGCGAAGCGGTCCAGCGTGCTGCCTGGTAGTCCCCGCCGAAGGAAAAAAATGCACACGTCCGAGCGATGACACGGACACCTCTTGGGGCCGACGTCATGGGAAAATCCTGACGCTGGGTGGGCCGGGTGTGCTGGAGCAGGGCTGAACCTAAACGGTTTTTGTTCGTTCTCGTTTTGGTTTCTTTTTCCCTCGCCCTTTGTCTCGAATCCGCCTGTACCGCAGAACGAAGTCGAAACGAAAACGGCCCACGAAATCACCAGAAACACCGTTTAGGTCCAGACCTGTGCTGGAATCCGAGGGCCCAGGGGTCGGCCTCTCAGGAGGACGACGCGTCAAGGAACAAAATGCAGCTTGCGCTGGTCCTCACGGCGTCGACGTGCGACTGTTCTAAAGGGGCCAAAGGACACACAGATAAATACACACAAATTAAACTATTCCATATATTTTCCCATATGTTTGGGGCTTTCGTCTTCCCCCACACTTCCATAATTGTCCTATATTTTCTGGGGAATCGACGATTAATTGTGTCTGTGTGTTTCGTTCCCTCCTGATGTTCACCGAGGCCACTCAATATACGACGCAGGCGGCGCAACGGGGGGCGACATAGGCTGCGTGCTATCGGTGGAGCTAGAATGGGGACACACACACAGACACAACAACAACAACAACAACAACAACAACGACGACGACGACGACGACGACGACGACGACGACAACAACAACAACAACAGCAATCATTTAAGACTGGGGACACTCCGTTCTCACCAGTGCCAGGGTTTTCATAGGAGGCGGGCAATACCCCCACTTTGTGGGGGGGCCGGTTCAAGCTCTACCAAATTTCCATACGACTCTTCGCCACCACCCACACCCAGCTTCCCGCCCTATGACGTTCGGACACTTCACTTCGTGGCATGCGGACGACCGTGGCTACTATTCAGGGCCCCGCGGCCGACGACGACGGCGTGCGCGCGCGAAGAAAAAACGAATGTGTCCAATATGGTATTATTTGACAGGGATGATGGCCCTGGCATGCGCGCAACCGTTGTTGCAGAAGTTCGAAGCACGTGAAAAAGTTGCTCGCAAGAGCCCGTTTGACAGAAATGTTGAAAAAATATTGGGTTTCCTCAGAAATCCGCAAGAGCGCGCAAGATGAATGTTTGAAACTTTTTTTTGAAAAACCATTGGGTTTTTCATGTTTTTATGTTAAAATCGCTACGAAAACTAAGGTTTTGGAAGGATTTCATCTTGCGCGCGCGAGTGTGCACTTCGTGTCATTTTTTCAAAGGATTCTTGAAGTTTGGTTATGTTAGAACAAGAAATTTCATTTTATAGTGTTTTTTGCAAGGGAAAGCGGGCGTCAACAAAACAACCGGATCCGGACACCCACGTTTTGCCTGAGACTTCCTCACGAAAATGATGAAAATGTGGCTGCGGCCTAGGCGCGGCGAGGGGGGCGCGCACCAGGGGTCCCAACAATAATTATTCTTTAGAATAAATAATGTTCAACAACAACACCAACAACAACAACAAACAGGTTCAGCTCCACCGATCGCACACAACCTGTGTCGGCCATTGCTGCCCCGCTTTCGTAGCATATCGAGGGGCCAGTGGACAATCACACGTGGACGCAAACAGACAACTCCCGAGGACGACCGAACACTGTCACGATCATGACACGGGGAGATCTTGAGGCAGTAAAGCGGTAGTAAAGCGATAACGACTGTGCCGCTCCACGGCCCTCTACTGCGTCGCCTTCTGGCCAGGAATTCAAGGATGCGACGCGAGCTCTCCAGAACGATCAGCGGTGCGGCTGATGGACAAAATCCTGCCCCTTTGATGTTGGTCTTGTGAAAACCCCCAGCGCCGCTTTGTTTTTCGCGAGGCGCCTCATCGAAGACACAGTGGACACAGCGTCGGGGAAGCTACTCCTTCTTGCCCTCGACTGGGCGAAGGTTTTTCAGAACGTGCCGCCAGATAGCCTCCTGCAGGCGTTGATCCGCTTAGGCGTCCCCGAGCACTTCGCCGCAGAAGTGAAGGGGATCTACAGCAACAGGATTTTCCGGGTCGGGGACGCTGGCTCCGCATCCGAGCCATGGCCGCAAGCGTGCGATGGCTGTCCTCATGCACGACGCAAAGCGGAAGTTTGCTTGCAGCGGGCTGGCACAATCCAGATCTACCCCGGTTTCTGAGCCGATGTACGCCGACGACACTCTCATCGTCGGAGCCGGAGAGGAATACGTGCATCGCCTGATGGAATGCGTGCGCGAAGCCGGGGGAAATTAGGAGTTATGAGTTGGGATTCAATCGGGGCAAGCTCGAGGTGTTGTCGGTGGGATGCGAGACGCACATGGCACGCCCAGACGGAGCAGCAATCCCGCAGAGGGACAACATGGTCTGCCCGGCAGCGGCGCGGAACTGAGCAGAAGGACCAGCATCGCGTACAAGCAGTTCCATTCCATGTGCAAGATTTGGAAGCATGCGAACATCACACAGATGAAGAGGGTGCGGATCTCCCAGTCGTGCGTCGTTTCAGGTCGATGTACTGCTTGCATACTTTGCGGCCCAATCAGGCAGAACCCGCAAGTTAGATGCTTTCCAAGCGCGCTGCCTGCGAACAGTGGCCGGCATCGCACATTCATTCATCAGTCGTGTCTCGAACGACGCTGTCCTAGCCCATTGCAACTGTGAGAAGTTAAGCAGCCAATTAGCATACCAGCAGCTCGTGCTTCTGGGGAGGGTGGCCGGGATGCCAGATGATAACGCTGTCCGACGTTGCGGCATCGCCCCCGGGACATCCTGTCTTTCCTGCTTTGGAGGTCGCCGGAAACGCGGTCGGCCAAAGGACACGTGGAAGCGGAATGCATTTGCCATGGCGTGCCAAGCAGTTGGCGACGAGGCCAGATTGCCTCACCTATGGCAAGGCAGCGCCCAGGCGTGGCGACGTGCAGCTCGCAACTTCTGCGCGCGGACTGCAGTGAGGCCTTTGACTTGCCTTCCGTCTGTAGACCACTGCCGACGGCACCTCTGACGTGCACGGCGCGCTCTCGAGCTCTCCCCAGCGCCGCCAACTTCAGCTTGGCAGGCTGCGCCGCGAGGTGTCCATCTGTCGGCTGGCCGGAATCCTGCGCACCGTTGGCGATGCCAACCAGCATGGCATCGAGGACAGGGGGCGCGCTGAAGCTTGCGCCGGCACACCAGCCGCATGCATGGGTGGTGCAAGAGCCTGCCCATCAACCGTATCGGCATCTTTTGCAGAGGCTCCCACACATGGGGTCCGAGTGAACGGGGTCGGAGGATCGTGTCGCATCGTCGATGTATCTCCGATGCATTGGCGCCGTCGGCGGTGCATCGGCGACGCAAACGCACAGAAAATCGGGCTCCACATCGAGCCGCGCCGATGCATCGGCGATGCGGCGCGACTATCAGATCCCATCTACCCGACCCCATCTGGGAGGCCTAGAACCTTTTCCTCCTCTAACATTATGCGGCAGCCCATGGGAGCCTCCCATACCAGCTTGTTGGCTCTTGCAAGTTGACGCGAATCGCCTCTAATCGAAGCTGATAGACGCTAAATCGACTCTAATCGGCACTACTCGTGCTTATCGACGCTGGATCGGGGCTTCCTCGTCGACTGCCACATGCTAACCGACGCTAATGCACCCCAAAGGCCAAGTGGCGAGTGCCCACATCGGCTGCACGCAAGAGTGGCCCTAGGCAACAGTGACCTGTGGTGGGCGGCTTTGGGGGGGGGTCGCGGGGAGGGGGGGCCTAACCCATGTGCGCAGGCCGCTGCCCAAAGGTCACTCCGGCGAAAGGTCACTCTTAAGCGCGGTCGAGTACGAGGCTGCCATGACTTGCTACCGAATCTGACGCACCGCGCCCGCCCACCCGACCCCGCGGGATGGCTGGGCCAGCTCGCTCGGCACGCCGCCCGGCGAGGCCTCTTGATGGGCCACTTGTCCACCACCACTACCCTAGGCAGGACGTGGGAGAAGGGAGAATGGGGATGTCCTCCTCCTCGTCCTCGTCCTCGTCCTCGTCCTCCTCCTCCTCACTCTCCTACCTGTGGTAGCGGTGGTGGAAAATCGGCCCAAACGCCTGGGGAAACCAAAAGGTACCGACACTGCTACTCCCCAGACCTCTCCCTGGGCGCGTTCTGACCAGGATCGCCAGGCGAACCTGGCGGTGGCGCCGAGGGCCTCCCAGGAGGCCCACAAAGAGGAAACCGAGGGCATGGTAGCAGCATGGGCACTCCCGATCTCATACTGAAGTGTGGGGGGTCACATTTGGGTAGGGGTCTACTCGGAGCTTAGATGTTCATTCTGGGGACCTTCCTGGAGCCACTCGCTCCACTCGTGCGTCGAAGCTGCGTCGAACCTGAGTCGAACCTGAGTCGAACATGAGTCGAGCCTGAGTCGAATCTGAGTCGAACCTGAGTCGAACAGATCCATGAGGTGGGCCCCAGGAAAGTCCCCAAAACGAGCATCGAATGGAGCTGTCCTGGAGGGTTCCAGGGAGGTCTGGGCAAGAGGCCGCCCCTTCATGGCCGGTCTGGGGGGGGGTCCAAGATTGCCCGTCCGTGGCACGTTCCCCACACGGACGCCAGCGAGAGGAACTTCCGAGACCGCGGCGTTGACCTTGAGACTTCCACGAGTGCGAGTGCAAAAACGCAGTGCGGCAGCCTCGTGGGCGAAGCCGAGCGGACTTGAGAAATCGGCACGGCCCGCCTCAAAAGTCCCTTTCCCTGGGTTGAGCAGGGACCGACCGTCCCGGCATTCTTATAATCCTACCACGAAATGTTCCTAGGACGCAAAAATGTTCTAAGAACAAAAACGATGATCTTAGAACAGAAACCCGATGTGTTACATCAAGACAGACTCCGCCAGACATGTTCTAAGAACATTTCGGGGAAACCACAAAATGTTCTAAGGTAGGGCTACAGGCGAGCCAGGACGCTTCGCCACTGCTTCCCTGGGGCCCCTTTTGGAATCACATGAGTCTGGGAGGGCTGTGACCCCCTCCCTCCTGCTTGCGAAATCTGGAGTGCACGTCGTTCGTTTTTTTTGTGCCGTGGCAATGCTTCGCGGCGCAACGGCTGCACACGAGCTGTGACGGCAGGCAGCCACTAAGCCACCCCGAAAAATGCGCGGACCTCAAAGTCTGAGAGCCGCACTGCTGCTTCGGCTACTCGCACGCCCACCTGCGTGGGGTGCCAACCACCAAGCAACTTAGCCTTCGCGCTGGTGGCCTGCCTCGAGGCCGTCTGACCTCGGCAACGGTCACCCAAGGATCGAACAACTCGCCCTGAGCACCGCGCCCCGCATCGGCCACAAAAGGTATAAGGCCACGCGCGGTACAGCTGGTGCCCCTGCGCTGGGTCTAGGGTCCTGTTGGCCACACTTCCACTAGCTCGGGCTGGCCCCGAGCTTGACCCCTCTGGAGGAGGTGGAGGAGCAGCAGGAGGGGCAGGCACAACAGGCTCGGGCGGCTGGGAGCTAGGCGTCAAGGCGCCTCGGCCTCGGCTGCGACTCCTATGCACATGCGCGCCTACTCCACCGCCACGACCAGAGCCACCCTCATAGATCACTCGCTGCCGCACTCCAGGGCACCGATGGCGCTTGTACTGCGCCGCTCGGGCCCCTTGCACCTTGGAGCGCGCGCCGCAGTCCAGGCACCTGTACCACTGGCCCTCCGTGACGAAGTTGCGCCTCCTGGTCGTCGGGTCCCGCGGCCGTCCTCGCGCCACAGGGCCAGCAGGCGCGCTCGGCCCTGCAGCATCGCCGCCACCGTCGGGGTCCTCGATGGGGTCGTCCTCCTCCATCTCGTCGTCGGCAGGCGCGGCTGCTGCTGCTGGCTGGGTCGCCACCCTCGCAGCATCCTCAGCTGCGGCAGCCACCTCCTCAGGCGATGCGCCTGCTGCCGCTGCCGCTGCCGCTGCCGCCGCCACAGCTGCCGCCGCCGTAGCCGCGGCATGCCCTGCCGAGGTCATGGCAGGCCTCGCCTCGTCAGCCTCGGGCTGCCGTCCTCGCAGCTGGGCCTCTCGTCGGCGCTGCGCCCGTGCCTCCTCTTTGGTGGGCAGCGCGACGTCCCCGAAGTCGCCGACCGCCACTGCAATGTCTGGCACGAAGTCCTGCAACTGCTGCACCGTCTTCCGACGGTCCTGCCAGACGTCGATCTGCCAGTGCGGCGGCATGGCCAGCTGCGCTCCTTTGACCGCCAACTCGTCGGCGATCTTGTTGCCGTGCACGTGGAACGCGTTCTGCCCTCTGCCATGCGACCGCACATGCACCACCGTGAGGCCATCCATGTTCGGGAAGGTCTCGTCCACGACGTTCCAGATGCGCATCCAGATGTCGCAGTTGCACCTCGTAGTCGGTGATCAGCGTGGTGGGGGCCGTCGCCCTGCGCAGGGCCTGCCAGATGGCCTGGAGCGCGGCGCGCCCCACCGACAGATCAGCTCGTACTCCTGGCAAACTACCGTATGCTCCACCAAGCGCCGTGTATTGACCTTCACCAGCAGGCTCCTCGAACCACATGTAGCCCCAGCCGTAGCCCTTGAGCGTGTTGGCGCCTTTGCACGAGCCGTCAGTGAAGCAGACCCCCGAGATGAACGGCATGACGTCGTCCTCGCAGATGTCGTCGCCCTCTGCGTTGACCGAGTGGCACTGCTCGATCTGGGCGTCGCCCTCAACGTCATGGATGGGGTGCGCCACCAGGCCGCAGTTGAGCAGCAAGCTCTCGCCTGAGCCCGCCATGCGCTGCACAATGCCCGCATGCTTGTCGGCGAGCTTGGCCCTGCTCTCCTCGTGGGCCTCGCAGCGCCCGAAGCGGTGCCTCTGAGTGCCCAGAGCGCGCCTGCGCTGCTGGCACATGCCGTCGGCTACCGTGCCGCGCTGCTGGAGCTTGGCCTGCGTGCAGTAGTCCTGCCCCACGTAGGCCCTGATGGCGCCTTGATGCGCAGCCCACCTGCGCTTCTTGAGCAGCGCCCTCACCGGCTCCAAAAACGGCATCGGGACCTCCTCGGCGATGCCCTTCTCTGTGGCCCACTTCGTGAGGACCTGCCGCTCGATGGCCCTCTCCACCTTGTACCTGACCGTCTTAGGCGCCACCGTGTGCAATGGCACCTGGACGCCCGCTGGTGCGAGCAGCGTCCACGGCGCAGGCCATGACCAGCCGAGGCCGCGCAGGGTCCTCAAGACTGCCTCTGCAGGTCCTCTGACTGCCGACCATGCCACCGTGCCTGCCGTGGCCAGCCGCGCTGACGCCATCCTCCATGCCGCGACCATGGACTCCTCGTCCATGGCCCGACTCGATACCACCTCAGCCCACTTCACCACTGGCCGAATGGTGAGGCTCACCGCTGGGTCGGCCTCCTCGAGCCACAGGGGCAAGGTGCGATCCTTGCCCATGGCCTCGCCGCTCAGCGCCATCGACATGTTGATGCGAGCCCTCTCGATGAGCTTCGGCGGCGCTCCGATGCCGGCCACCCCGTAGCGCGTGGACGGCAAGAAGCCAAGCTTGGCTAGCTTGGTCGTGCCAAAGCTGGCGCCCTGCTTCTGAAGGATGTTCAGCTTGGTACCCCTCGTGACCATGACCTCTACGCGCCCCTGCTGCCTGGGCCGCCGCTTCGCGCCAACACCGCCCGTGAAGTCCACGCCCAGCTGCGCGCCCTCCTCTTGGATCTCCAGGCCCCAGTCCTTCGCCCAGAGCTTGAACTTGGCCTTGGCCTGCTTGTCTGCCGTGTAGACATAGCTCTTGCCCTTCTTGGTGACGCCGTTCTTGCCCGTGGTGAGCGACAGAGGGGGGCCTTCTGCCTCAGCTGCCTGTACGCATGCCATCGCAGACTCCTTCGCCTCGTGCACCACCGCCTCCCGCTCGCCCTGCAGGTGGAGCGTGGTGTCGTCGACGTAGAGCTTGACGTACCTCTTGGCCCCCTCCAGGCACGGCCTGGCGATGACCATGTCCAGCAAGATGATGGTGAAGCACTTGGGCGCCCGCGCACCACCACGACTGCCTGCAGCAGTTGCCGACCGCGCACGCATCCGCGTAGAGGCCACCATACCATCCAGCGCGACGAACCTCTCCATAGTGAAGACCGAGATCACGAAGTGGGGCACCTGCTCTGGCATCCCCAGCTTGCGCCCGTGCTCCCACAGGCGCCTCATGGTGACGTGCTCGAACACCTTGGACAGGTCCTTCACCACAGCCGCGTTGATGTGGTCCGCTGGGCAGCTCTCGTCCCGGAGCATGAGGTCCCACATCGCGTCCTCAGCACCTTTACCTCTGCTAGCCCACTCATAGGGCCGTGCGACTATCTCTTCCCGCTTGCGATACTCATCTGCCATCAACGTTCCAACAACTCTAACCAGGCAGCACAAGAGGGCCAGCGGGCGGCGCCCATCCTCGTGCGGCTTCGGCACCAGGAAGTAGGCCAGCAGCTCTACCTGGGTAGGCCAATGAACGTGGTGGGGTACGTACCCGGCGAGGTCGACCAGCGCCTGGGTGCCCTCCGACGATAGCCACGTCCACCATCTCGGGTGCCACCAGTCAGGGCCTATGCCAGAGCTTGTCTTGAACAGCCCGGCGGCCTCCCTGAACCGACCGGCCGAAACTCTGACGAGTGGTGCGGGGTAGACTCGTCCTTCCCAAGGTCGGTCGTGCTCTCCTCGGCTGTCGGCCCCATGCGAGGCCCAAAGCTGGTACCACTGGTGGGCATGCCCATCCACAAGCGTCTGCCCGTCGAGCAACTCCACCTCGTCCTTCTTATAGTTCGCAATGGGCGCGGGGGGTCGCTCGGCATGGCGCCAGCGAGCCATGCGGTGCAAGAAATCTGCTGCGCCCTTGCTGCCATCCTTGAGGCGACCCCTCCACGCTATGGCCCTGGCCTGCTTAAGGAGCCACCGCCGTATCTCCATGACTGCGGTGAGCCGCTCCTCAGCGCCATCCTCGCGCAGCCGCCAGTGCTCGATGTCGAAGAGGAGGTGGTCCAGCCACTGTCCCGTGGCCCCGAACTGCCGCAAGCGGCGTCGCCCTCGGTGCAACGTCTTGCCGAGGCACTCGCGTAGCCATGCCACCCGAGCTGGGTCTGGGCGCTTCGCCCTGGCTGCTTGAGCCACCAGTATGTGGCTGCCGATCCTGTTGGCCGCCCAGCGCCAGGCCGCGGCCCCCACCGTCTGCCCGACGCCATCCCTCGCCTTGGGGCCCAGGAGCGGCGTGAGCACCGTCTTCGGCGCATCGGCTCGGCCGCGGTACCGTGGGCGCTCCTCCTCTGGGATCTGGCAGATGCCCAGGAGCTCCTCCTCTGCCGTGCGCGAGACCTGGCGCAAGTAGTTGTCCAGGTCCTCCTGGTCGAGCCTGCCCGTGCGGTTGGTCGGCCACGACGGCCGCTGCTGCGGCTGCGGCGCACGCCCGACTGCCAGCGCCATGGGGAGAGCACGCGGCTTGATGAAGCGCAGCACCTTGGCCTTCCTGGGCTGCTTCAGGCAGCGCATCCGCACTGGCCAGTGCGGGAAGGCCTCGCTGTCCTCCACCCTCTCTGCCTGGCTGAGGGCAGGGCTGAGGCCCTTGGCGACCACGAAGTAGTCGATCTCGCGTCCTCCTCCGATGCTGTCGCACGTAACCTTGCCGGTGGTGTGGAGCACTCCTTCCACGTCTTGGAGCCAGCCCGACTCGTGCAAGGTGTGGGGTTCCAACTGCGCGTCCATGCCAAGAACCCAAGGGACAGCATGCATCTCTGTGAGCTCGCCGATGCGGTCCAGGATCTGCAGGTTGCGTTATGACAGCCATTCGCCTGTCCACATATATGCCGAGACCAGCAGCACGCCCCCTGTGCCCCGCAGCGGGCATCGGGCCGCACATATGCGCCCTCGCATGTCTGTGGGTGAGCAGTCCCACTCCTGCTGGTCGTACGCGTAGGTGAGGCCGGTGGACTTGGGCACCATGATGTAGGTCCCAGACTGCGGCCCCCACGAGCTCCCGTCGCACTGGGCGCCATCGCAATCGCCCATGCTCGCTTGCAGGTCGCTGCCTGCACCTCCTCTTTCCAGTTATCGTCCAGCCTGTGCTCCTGGCCGAGGATGCAGCTCGGCTTGGTGATGTACTCGTCAACGAACGCGACGCCCTTGGCCCACGTGTTGCAGTTGGCGGTGTAGATCTCGATCCCCTTCGAGAGCTTGCCTCGCCCTCGTTTGCGCCTGCCCTGTTCTGCAGGCTGGCCCTCGGGTAGCGCCTCGCGTGGGCTCTCATGGCCCCCGCACTCCTGGTCGGCCCACGGCTGGCCTGCGTTGTCAAGCACGCCGTGGACGCTTGGCTGCCCCAACGGGCGCGCACTCGCAGAGCTTACGCACGCGATCAGCCACAGAAAGGTTGTCGCCCATGCTCTGCGCCATGACGTCCTTGTCGATGCCGATGCCCTTGCACCAGTCCTCGAAGAACTTCTCCTGCGCTGCTGCATCGAGGTCCATCGGGTCCGTGGCCTCGGGCTCCGCTGGTGGGCCCCCTGGCGCTGGGGCGCTGGCGAAGTGGTCCTTGCACTTCTCCCGCAGGGCCCGCTCGCTCTCATGGGCCTTCCTCTGGGCGTACTTGAGCTCGTTGTACGCCTGCATGAACTCGGAGTCCTCCTTCGCCCTGTCGGTGATGTCCGACGCATTGGCCGACATCTGCTGCAACAGCACCACGCGCTTCTCGGTGAGGGCGCGCAGCTCGTCGGCGCGCTCCTGTGCCACCTGCTCTGCAGCCTTGAAGCTGGCCTGGGCGTCGGCCAGCACCTTGCGCGTCTCCTCCACGTACTCGGCTGCCCTGGCCACCGTGCGCTCTTTGTGCGTGATCTTGCTCTGCACCGCGCGCAGCTGGTCATCCAAGCCCTTGTCAGGCTTGGCCGCCTCAGCTGCCGGGGCCGCCTTGACCTTGGCGCCCTCCACGGCTGCCAACACTTCCTGGTCCACCACGCCTTCCTTGTGGAGCTTCTCGCAGAGCCGCGCCAAGTCCTCGACGTGGTTCGCTGCCGGCGCCTGGACAGCTGCCCTTGGCTTCGGGGCTGTCGCCAGAGCTGGCCACTCCACTGGCTGCGTCCACCAGCCCTGGGCCCTCGGCTGCGTCCACTGTTGTGGCTGCCGTTGGCCCTGCTGCTTCGGCGCCCGCTTGCGCTTGTTCTGCTGCCACTGGTACGTAACCACCGATGACGTCCTGGGGGCCGCCTTGCCACAGCCACGGCACCAGGTCCTCCACGGGTGGTTGTCGGTTGTGCCGCACGCACACGCCCACAACGCGCCAGGGTTCCCATCGGCTCCCATGCGCACAAAACTCGATTGTTATCAGTTGCTTTGGCCTCAAAGCGCGAACCCCCTCGCGCTCAGAAGTCGCCGACCGAGGCCGATTCGCGGTCGTCGGGCGGTTCATAGCCTTGAGCCAAAATGGCTACGGGCACGTCGTTCGTTTCTAATGGTGCTCATTTATAATTGCGCTCGTTTCTAACTGTTCCTGCCCCCCCAGTGGCCAGGAAGACGCCCAGGACAGAACAGCTAGAAATGACAGGATCTTGGGCCCCCCCCACAATCAAAGAACTCTCGAATAATCAGAAATGAACGATGTGTACCTCTTCCTCCCCAGGAGGCCCAGAAACAGTCCATTGGGGGGTGTCAGTGTACACGCCGTTCATTTGAATCGTGCTCATTTCTAAGTGTGACCGTCTCTGCTTGTTCCTGGCCCCCCCCCCCAGTGGCCAGGAAAAGGCCCGGGACAGAACAGCTAGAAATGAGAGAATCTTGGGCCCCCCAAAAAAATCGAAGAACCCTCGAAGAATCAGACATGAACACTGTGTACCTCTTCCTCCCCGGGAGGGCCAGCCCGCTCTGCGCGCCGCCCGGCGAGGCCTCCGGCAGAGGCCCGGCCGCCTCCGCCCGCACCTCCGACGCTGCTCCGAGGGCCGGCAGCGCCTCCGCTGGCGCCTCCGCCGGCGCGCGGGCGCACGCTGCGCCAGGCTCCGGCAGGTACATGGCGAGGCGCTGGAGTTGGGCTCCCTGGGTTTCCTCTTGTATTGGGAGGCCTGGAAATTGGCACCAACACCAGCACAGGGGTTTGCCTCCACAGGGGGACGATGATCCTCGATTTCGGTGTTGGTGGTAATATTTTGGTCACCTTGGAAGCCAGAATATTACCACCATCACCGAGATCGGGATCGTCTTCCCTCTGTGGATGCACACCGCCGATCTTGGTGTTGGTGTCATCCTCTAGGCCTGCGAGTGTAGGCGTGGCGTGAGAAGAGCACGGCGGGAGGCTGGTCGCAGCTGTCGGCCTCTGGGGGCCCTGCCTTGGCCTCGGGGGCGTCAGCGAACGATTCAGACTGAAAAACTGGTCCCGGGGAATGGGTCGAGGCCTCTGGGGGTTGACGTTCGGAATAAATCATGACGTCGGGGGTCAAGGGACATGGTCGGCGGCGCGCAGAGGGGGTAGGGGGAGGGGGGAGGGCTTCTTAGAAGGAGGCTGCATCTTAGAAGGCGCTGGCCCTACATCTACAAACAAGGCCCGCGCACTTCTAAAAATGCTGGAGCGCTTCTAAGAAGCCTTCCCTCCTCTCCTTACCCACCTCTGCGCGTGGCCGTTTAGTTCCTTTTGCAGATGTGGTCGGAGGATCGCGTCGCATCGTCAATGCATCGCCGATGCATTGGTGATACATCAGCGACGTCGCCGACGCATCGGCGCCGTCGGCGTGGAGAAAATCGGGCTACACATCGAGCCGCATCGCCGACGCATTGGCGATGCGGCGCGATCCTCCGACCTCATCCGCTCGGACCCCATCTAGGAGGCCTACATTTACGGTCAGGAGCTCTTGCACAGCGGTCGAGGCGGCGGCCCCGGCAACACGCTATCCCTTGCGAGCGGATCGCGTGTCGCTCCGCTCCGCGGGGCGGGAGGCTCGGAAAGGCTCGGGACGTTCACGCTGGGGGGCCGGGAAGTAGATGGCGCATCGCGCCGAAGCATGGTGGGCCAGAACTGGCGGAGCGACACGCTATCCAAAAGTTCCCGATCGTAAGACTCTGGGAGGCCAAGGTAGGCTTGAGCGTGTGAGGCGGGTGCGTGCGGTCGTCAGGCGTGCGTAAGAGCACAGGAGGAGTGTTCTAGACATGGCTGCACAAGCACATTCCGAAGCTGGGGTATGGTACTTCTGGGCGAGCCTAAAACGGTTTCAGAGAGAAGTGGCTCCAAAAAGAAAAATAAGGAACCCAACGCTGGAGGAGCTCCGCGTCGGAGAGGGCATCGCTGTCGTCTCTGTCGCCGCCGCTGTCGCTCATGCCAAGCTGAGCAGCGGGCATTGCCAGTGATGCCCCTGGCCTGGCGCGCCAGCAGGATTTTCAAGGAGGTTCCCGCGGCCTCTGGAGCACCCCCCACGGGGCCGGGAGGGCCCGACCCAGAATGGAGCGAAAAGCTGGGGACAGCTTCGTTGGCGGCGCGCGCAAGCGGGTCGGGGGAGGGGGCAAGGCTCCACAGAAGGAGGCTGCTTCTTAGAAGGCGCCGGCCCTACATGTGCAGACAAGGCCCGCGCACTTCTAAGAAGCAGGGGCGCTTCTAAGAAGCCTTTGGTGGGTTTGTCTTCCACCACCACCACCATAAGAAGGAGGAGGGGTCCTCCTCCTCCTCCTCCTCCTCCTCCTCCTCCTCCTCCTCCTCCTCCTCATCCTCCCCTTCGTCGTCGTCCTCATCATCCACCTCCTTCCCCCCTCCAACTCATGGCGGTGGTGGAAAACACGCCCATGAGCCTTCCCCCTCCCTATACCCCCCTTGCGCGTGGCCGACTTCGGCCAGGGGCACCTCTGGCAACGCCCGGGTGTGGGGCTGCGAAGGCCCGCGCCCGTCCGGCCGGCTAGCATGCAGCGAGCGGCGGGGCAGCGCTCGAGCCCGCCGGTTGGGCTTCTGGGCTGCGGGTGCGGGCGAGCGCGGGGCACCGCTCTCCGGTCGCTGCTGGGGGTAGACGAGCGCGTTCCACTATTCGCAAAACAACTACTCGCAAATGGCCTGGATCCCCCGCGGGGGATGCACGATAAATCCCACCAGCCCTCTGGGCGCAGGTGGTTTAGGGAGTTTCTTGTTCCAACCTCCTTCGTCCCCTTCGGGGAAGGGTTTATCACTGTCCCACTGTTCCCTATTAGTATACACCCCCTCCCCCGGGCGACTGGGAGCCAACCCGCGCCAATGAGGGCCCCCCCACCACCCCTACTAAAAACAATACAAGACACACTCTGCTTCCAAATTCGAAGCATGCGCGGCGAACCCGATGCGGCCTCCCCCCCACCATCCCTTTCAAAAAACACTACAAAGTACACTTGGCGGCGGCGGCGGCGGCGGCGGGGGCAGCGGCTGCGGCGGCTGCGGCGGTGGCGGCAGCGGTGGCGGCGGCGGCGGCGGCGGCGGCGGTGGCGGCGGCGGTGGCGGCAGCGGCTGCGGCGGCAGCGGCTGCGGCGGCGGCGATTCGGCAGCGGGGGCGGCGATTCGGCGGCGGCGGGCGGCGGCGGCGGCGGCAGAAGCGGCGGCGGATTCGCCCCCAGTAGCTACCCATCGAAAGACGACTGCTGAATATGCTGCGGTTCGAGCCAGGCTCGGGTGCTACGCATGTGTCGGGAGGGCGGGTGAGAGTGAGCGAGACGGCTTGCGGGCGGGGAGGGAGTCCTGATCACTGTTCCTTATTCTTATACATCCCCTCCCCCAGGCGACTGTGAGCCAACCCGAATCAATGAGGGCACCCCCCCACCATCCCTTGATACAAAATGATCCCGGCAAAGCAACCTAACAGCGATGTGTAGAAGCATATCTGAAAGCATTCCCCTTAAGATTCAGATGAAAATCCAGTTGTCGAATTCTGCTGTTCTCGCAGTCGTAGTCGCATTCGCGATGACAGTCGCAGCGGCAACGGCAGTCGCAGTCACAGCCTCAGCCTCAGCCTGCCTCAGCCTCAGCCTCAGCCTGCCTCAGCCTCAGCCTGCCTCAGCCTCAGCCTCAGCCTGCTTCAGCCTCAGCCTCAGTCTGCCTTCAGCCTCGGCCTCAGCCTCAGCCTGCCTCAGCCTCAGCCTGCATCAGCCTCAGCCTCAGCCTCAGCCTGCCTCAGCATCAGCCTGCTTCAGCCTCAGCCTCAGCCTGCCTCAGCCTCAGCCTCAGTCTGCTTCAGCCTCAGCCTCAGTCTGCCTTCAGCCTCAGCCTCAGCCTGCCTCAGCCTCAGCCTGCCTCGGCCGCAGCATCAGCCTGCCTCAGCATTCAAAATGTGGCCCAGGAGCGGAGTTCTGGGAACTAGAAGAACACGAAGTGGCCTACAGTTGGCTCCGGGCATTCAAAATTGTGCCCAAGAATGGAGTTCCGGGAACTTGAAGAGCACGAAGTGGCCTACAGTTGGCTCCGGGCATCCAAAATGTTGCCCGGGAATGGAGTTATGGTAAATCGAAAAACACGAAATTGCCTACAGTTGGCTCCGGGCCAAAATGTGGCCCAGGAAGAAAGTTCTGGGAAGTCGAAGAGCACGAAGTGGCCTACAGTTGGCTCCGGGCATCCAAAATGTGGCCCGGGAATGGAGTTCTGGGAGGTCGAAGAGCACGAAGTGCGTGACTGTTTGCGAAAAAACGAGTGCGGCGGCAGCCGCGGCGGCAGCCTGTCCGGGTCCCGCCCAGACCCCCCTGAGGAGACCACTAGAAACCTATCAGCAAGAGCTGCTAGGTAAAAAAAAAAAAACATGCGAAACACACTCTGCCTCCAAATTCGAAGCATGCGCAACGAACCCGGTTCGGCCTCCCTTCACCATCCCTGTAGAACAAAATGCAGAGTACACTTGGCGGCGGCGGCGGCTGCGGCGGCTGCGGCGGGGGCAGCGGCTGCGGCGGTGGCGGCGGCGGCGGCGGCGGCGGCGGGGGCGGCGGCGGGGGCGGCGGCGGCGGCGGTGGCGGCAGCGGCGGCGGCAGCGGCTGCGGCGGCGATTCGGCAGCGGGGGCGACGGCGGCGGCGGTGGCGGGCGGCGGCGGCGGCGGCGGCGGTGGACGGCTGCGGCGGCGGCGCGGCGGCGCGGGGCGGCGGCGGCGGGCGGCGGCGGCGGCGCGGCGGCGGCGGCGGCGGGCGGCGGCGGCGGCGGTGGAGGCGGCGGCGGCGGCGGATTCGCCCCCAGTAGCTGCCCATCCAAAGACGACTGCTGAATATGCTGCGGCTCGGGCCAGGCTCGGGTGCTACGTATGGGTTGGGGGGGCGGGTGGGAGTGAGCGAGACGGCTTGCGGGCGGGGAGGGGGTCTTGACACCTCCCCCTGCCCCCTCCCCTGGACCTGGACGGGAGGGTTCGCGACGCGTTGGAGCGTCCAATACGGCCTCGGTGAGGAAGCCAAAATCATTGGTTTTACCTTGGTTTGGGCCCCATTTTGGCCTCCTGAAAGGGGGGGGGGGCTAATTAGCCCCCCCCTCCTGTGATCGATCTCCTCCAGGATGGCCCCAGGAGGCGCCCAGGAGGCCCCAAAAAGGCCCCGAGATGGCCCCACGATGGCCCCATGTGGCCCCAGGAAGCCCCCAAAAGGCCCCCAGGATGCCCCCTCAGAGGCTCCCAGCAAACCCCAAAGAGGCCCCAAGAGGCCACCCAGAAGCACCCAAGACGCTCCAAGAGGCCTCGGCGAGAATGCCACAATCATTGGTTTTACATAGTGTTGGCCACTTTTCGGCCTCCTGGGGGGGCGCACTGCTTCAGATGACTCCGAGAGCGCCTTGGAGAGCCCAAGATGACCTCCAAGATGGCTCAGAAGATCCCAAGATGCCTCAAGATGGCTCCCACGATGTTCGAAGAGGCCCCAAGACCGCTCCAAGACGGCTCCAAGTGACCAAAGAGCTCCCCCAGGAGGCCCCGAAGAGGCCAACATTCTTCCGAAACCTTTAGGACAATCAATGTTTTTGGCTTTCTCGCCTTTTCGCTTCCGATGGCCGTCTGAGGTTTCAAGGTGGCTCCAAGAAGGCCCAAGACGGCTCCAAGAGCGCCCCAAATGATCCCAAGAGCGCTTCCAGAGGGCCCCAAGAGGCGCCCAGTAGGCCAGGATGCCCCAACAGGCGCCCGAGAGGCCTCCAAGAGGCTCCCAAGAGACCCCCAAGAGGCCCCAAGCAGCTCTCCGAGGCACCCAGGACGCTCTAAGGGGCGCCCAGGACCGCCAAGAGGCCCCCAAGACGCTCCAAGAGGCCTCCACTGGGGGACCCTTCCTCTGCGTGCTGCCCACTTCCCTGATCGAGGCAATGCCTCTGGGCATCGTTTCTGGATGGGTTGGTGGGGTATTTTTTTTTGGTCGCGGGCGGACGCGGATTCGCAGTCGCCGAGCTGAAAGGTCCGGGCCACGGGCCTGTCAAATTAGCAACGCGCAAGCCTAAAAGCACAGCGGCCGAACCCGCACTCAGAACCTACCGCCGGTGGGGCCGCGGGCTGATGGGAGGCTGGCTGAGCTGACTGCAAACGGCCAGGGTAGCTGATGCACCATGCGAGTGAATTGGCTCCAGTACGCCAGGAGAGGTCGTGACCTGTTCTGTAACAACAGACCACGCGCCATCCGAGCGCAGCGGCGCCACCAGGCTGATGGGGTTACTTTTTTGATTGGCGGCTCCAAGGACAGATCCAGGAAGCGGGACGGTCTCGGCTGGGGCACAGGGCGAGAAAATTAGCGGCGACGGCGCATAGGCCGACGCAGCGGGTGCCCGTGCCAGGGACAAAATGCCCCCCCCCCCCCCCCATTAAGACGCAGGCGACCCGGAAGCGGGGGCGCAGGCATCAGAAGGAAATTGACGGAGGAGAAGTCGCACAGTGGCGCCAGCTCAGTCCGTACCGAACAGCGCGTAAGGGCGTGGGTCACGCCGCGCTGTGGCGGCACGGAGGGGCCAGCGAGGCCGCACCGTCCAACACGACGAGGAGGCGAAGGAACGGGGAAAGGCGGCGGGCGCGAGGGCACGCGAGGACAGGAGAGGGGGGGAACCGAGGATCGCCTCACTCACATGGACTCATGGAAGTACTCGGGCATGAACGACCGACCTATGCAAGGAAGCGGCGGCCCTGTCTTCCGGGTCCACAACCTGCAACTGCCTGACTCTGAAAGCCGGGGGGATACAGCTGCAAACACTGGTCGAGCACCACGGACCACCCTGCGGGAAGGCCGAGAAGCACTGCCAAAGGATATACCACTTGCGCAGTAGCAAGAGCTCGAAGGCGGCGCCCGCCGTGGGAAGCGAGACAACCAAGTCGTCGGCGTACAACGCGGGCAGCTTATCCGTCACGGGGGACGGGGGCACAAAAATGCGAGCGTCAACCGAGGTAGCAGGGGCGGACCTGCTGGGGGAACAACGGCGACCTGCCAAAGGATGAACCACTTGCCAGGACAGCGCTCACCTCAGGTCCGGCCCCAGGTGGTGCCCGAGCGGGGTGGCGCGCAGGGCTGCACCATGCCGTAGCCCAGCAGCTGAAGCGCCGCGAACCGCTCCCAGTCCACGCGGGCGATCCGCGCCCGCTCCAGGGGCTGGAGGAGTCCATACGTGAGGGGGCAGACTGCCTCAGACCCTGGTTGCCCAGATCATTACATGGCAGCCGCGCTGACCGAACGCACCTCGGAGCCCTGCCAGTGAGCCTCCAGGCGCCCATGGATGTCCGAGTGCTCCGGTGGAACGGGTTGGTAGGGGGGAATTCGCGCGGCACTGCGCGCCGTATCAGCACAAGAGGAGGAGGAGGAGGAGGAGGAGGAGGAGGAGGAGGAGGAGGAGGAGGAGGAGGAGGAGGAGGGGAGACGTAGCCGAGAGCCGCACAATCCAGTGAATAGAAGGAGGAGGAGGAGGAGGAGGAGGAGGAGGAGGAGGAAGAGGCAACACCAATGTCGATGCTGTGTGGGCAGAGTGGCCTCTGTGATCCCTCCACCGCTCCCTGCGGAGGGCTGGTGGGGTTACGCGAAGCGTCTAGAATTACATCAAAGCGGACAGGTGTTCTTTTGTCGGACGCTTTGCGGGTAGGCACTTTGCGCGTAGTGGAACGCGTTCGGAGAGAGGTGGCCGGGGGCGCGGGTCTCTGGAGCAGCGCGCGGGCCAGATGCCGGAGCGTGGCCCCAGAGCGCACGCTTGAGCAGGGACCGACCGTCCCAGCATTCCTATAGTCCTACCACGAAATGTTCTTAGAACCCTAAAGTGTTCTAAGAACAAAAGCAATGTTCTTAGAACCGAAGCCCGATGCGATACACCAAGACAGTCCCAGCCAGAAATGTTCTAATAACATGTCGCGGAAACCACAAAAGGTCCTTAGAACATTGTTTGGTAGGACTATAAGCAAGCCAAGACGCTTCGCCACTGCTTGAGGCGCGGCGCCGCGCCGGCTGTGCTCAGCGAAGCCCGGGTGGACGGAGCCGACACCGCGGCAAGCCCACGGCCAGCCTCGCGCTCCGAGGCGGCGCCCCGGGCCTGGTGGCCGCGGCGCCGTCCCCAGGGCCCGAGGCCGCTGGTCGGAGAGCAAACGGCGCGGCGACATGCATGGCCACGTGCCCCAGATTCTCGAGCAAGCGAGACACGTCGCCCTGACCTTCCAGGAGGGCTAAAAAAGTAGCACCAGGACGTCGACGTCCTAATTCCTGTCGAGGTTTGAGGCAGTCCAGATAGATCTATAGGTATGGAGTGCTATTTCTTAACACTCTGGAAGGTCAGTGCGTGGGTGGCCACCTTCCCCACGGAGCCGAACCCACGGCTGCCCGTCCTCGCGGCTGCAAGCGGGACGCCGCGTGCACGGCTCGGAGAGTCTTGCAGCGGCGCCGACCCCGGATAAGAGGCCCATCGGATGCGGCTCATGGTGCAGCATGCTCCTCCGGTACGCAACACAACACATGAGCACTGCACCCACTCACGGATGCGAACATAAACACAGATCCCGCCCCCTGCAGCATGATTTCTGCATCGAGTCGTGAACAGGACCGATCTAACGTGCGGACGCGAGGTGAGATCCATCCAGGCATCCAAAGCAATGTCGAATAGAGTATGCGTAGACATGCGATCAAGAACGGCAGAGAGAAACAACATGCCATTCAGTATCGTGCAATTGGCATTCAGTCTCAAGAGCACGTGTCTACCCATTCCAATCCGAATGTCCAGGATGACCACAAAGGCCCGGACGACCTCGCGACAAACACTGCTCCATCAATCCACGCCTGGCCCTCCGCTTGACACAGCTCGCCACATATGCCAAGTGGCTTCCGAAGCGCACCCCGCTGGAGTCAGTTTTTTTAGCTTGAATCGGCGATAACCCAAGTTATTCTGGGGGCTGGGGGAGGAGGAGGAGGAGGAGGAGGAGGAGGAGGAGGAGGAGGAGGAGGAGGAGGAGGAGGGGGCCGGCCGATAACCTAACCCTCGCGCTGTGGGCAGCCCTGCATATGCCCGCGCTCCCCCTCCCGCGGACCTGCACAACTGGCAAGGTTAGGTTATCCTGGCGGGGGGGGGGAGGGGGGGCACGCCCGATAACCCGGGGTATCGCCCGACCCTAAAAAAACAGTTTCCTGGCTTCCTCTCCCTAACCCCCTCACCTCCTCCTCAGAGTGCGGGAGGAGGCAGTTGAGCAGGGACCGACCGTCCGGGCATTCCTGTAGTCCTACCACGAAATCTTCTTAGAACCCAAAAATGTTCCAAGAGCAGCAACAATGTTCTTAGAACCGAAACCCGATACGATAAAACATTACAGTCCCCGCCAGAAATGTTCTAAGAACATTTCGTGGAAACCACAAAAGGCTCTTAGAACATTGTTTGGCAGGGCCACAGGCGAGCCAGGACGCTTCGCCACTGCTTGAGGCAGAGTCGACACCTCTGCTCTCCGCAGCGCCGCGCGCCTCGTACTCCCAGGGCCGGGCTGACGGCGATGCTGCTTTTTGCGGTGATGTTGGGAACCACAGTTTAGGGAACGACGAACCACAGGGCTGAACCTAAACGGTGTTGTCCGTTTTCGTTTTGTTCCTCGTTGTGTCTTCCATCCGCATCTGCCGCAGAGCGAAGTCGAAACGAGAACGGCCCACGGAATGGCCAGCACACCGTTGAGGTCCAGCCCTGACGAACCACACTCCCCTACTTGGCGGCGCGCACAAGGGGGTGGAGGGAGGGGGGAGGGCTTCTTAGAGGGAGTCTGCTTCCTAGAAGGCGCCGGCCTCACATCCATAGATAAGGCCCGCGCCTTCTGAGAAGCAGGGGTGCTTCTAAGAATGAAGGGGCCCTGGGACACACAAATAAATACACACAAATAAAAAGATGTCCCATAGTTTCCCATATTTTCTGGGTTTCTGTCTTCCCCCCACTACCCATATTTTCCCATATTTTCTGGAAGTCGACGAGTAATTGTGTCTGTGTGTTTTTTCCCCTCCTGAAAGAAGCCCTCCCCCCTCCCCTCACCTCCCTCTGCGCGTGGCTGACCTACCTTCCCCACGTGCGCACGGAGCGAGAGCGAACACGCCACCGCGAATCGCAGGCGAGAGCGCGAGCCGCGCGCTCCTCCCACGGCACCCGGCCCCCACGCCGCCGCTCCCTACAGATCGCCCGCCCAGGGCGGGGGGAGGACCCGCGCGAAGCGCCACTGGTTTTGGGTCGGGCATGTCCTCCTACAGGCGGACCCTGGAAGACAAATGAGCAGTACCCCCAAACATGCTCCAAGAAGGTCCAACAAACATCGCCCCCAGACTGTTCTTTTTACTACTTTTCCATACTCCTCCTGCAGAGGGACAGGCCCGACTTGACAATAGTTTGTGTCCATGGCCGTCTTTCTTCCTCGACCCCTGAAGATTTTGCCCAGCGATCCCCGCTGTTCCGCCGCTGCCTGCGGAAGGCGAGTGCTGCCTGCGGCATGCTGCTGCTCGGCCACCGCCGCCCACGCGCGCCCTCGGCCGGCACGCGGCCCAGTGCGGCTCGCGGCCGAACCCCTGGGGGAGCCGCAGCACGGAAGCGCTGGGCCCCTTCGGGCACGTGACCCTCCGCACTCGCCTGGTGCGCGGCGAGGTCGGGTCCAACGCGGTCGGCGGGGGACGTCCGCAGCTGAGTGCGGCGAGGGCAGAACGAGGAGGGGCAACTCCTCGTCCTCCTCCTCCTCCTCCTCCTCCTCCTCCTCCTCGTCCTCCTCCTCCTCGTTGTCCTCCTCGTTTTCCTCCTCGTTTTCCTCCTCCTCCTCCTCCTCCTCATCCTCCTCCTCCTGCTCCTTCTGCTCCTCCTCCTCCTCCTCCCCCTCCTCCCCCTCCTCCTCACCCTCCTCCTCCCCTCCTCCTCCTCCTCCTCCTCCTCCTCCTCCTCCTCCTCCTCCTCCGCCTCCTCCGCCTCCATCTCCTGGCTATGGTGGTGGTGGTGGAGAATCGGCCCGTCAGAACAAGGAGGGGCAGGAGAGGGGAGGGAGGAAGCGGCTGCGGAGCGGCCAGGGAGCTGTGCAGGTCTTGCCACGGGGCCGGGGGGCAGGCTGACGACAGGGCAGGGCGCAGAGGGCGCGCACAGGCGTGCGGCCCCTGCGCCCATCTTGGCACAGGCGCTCGGAGGTCTGCCAGACGGTCCCCGAGGGGCCCCCAAAGGCGGCTCAGCAGGGCCCCCAAGCGGACAATACGAACTGGCATCTCGAGGCTTTCTCGCCGCCTGGATTCGCCTCCTGCTGCTGCTGCTGCTGCTGCTGCTGCTGCTGCTGCTGTTCAAGCGCTGAGGCTGCTCACCCTTCCGGTCCCCCTTCCTCCGCCTACTCCACGCGCCTCCCCTCGGACATGCAGCAAGAACAAGTAAGAGAAGATGGCTTGGCTGCACCTGCAACTGTATTTTCTGTCCCGCACATGATTCGCGCGATTAGTCCACCATCCGCTCGGCCAACTGCATGTACAGTAAGGCTGCATCGTGGTGGGCAGTCGCGGTAACCTCCCGTTTCTGTACACCGATGCGCTCACCCACCGGGCAGACCCCAACAATAGTCGCACGTTCCGCGCATGCGCGTGCAGGGGCGTGGCCCAGTGCGCATACGAGACAAGCTTAGCGTCTTTAGTATTACGTCTGGCACCAGCAATACGTACCAATCGGACCCCGAGCCGTGTGCACGCAGATGTATTCAGCTTTCACCGTGCCCAGGATCCAAGACAGCTTCTGGGAGAGCACCCTCTCGGTGGGCAGCTCCCACTTCGCGGCCGGGACTCCAAACATGCAGGCGCGTTCGAACACATTTTTTGTTCGTCGGTGGCGAGGCGGGGCAATCCGCTCCAGCGCGGCAGCGACGCAGGGGCACTACAAAGCGAATTGGCCGGCCTGCACGAAGAGGAAGGAAGAAGGACAGGGCGGCCGCGGGTGGGGTGGGGGAGGGCGAGGGGGGCGGAGGGCGAGTACTCAGAGGCGTTCGACCACACACACACACACACACACAAACCGTCAACATTCAGCCACGCGCAAAGGGGGATATAGGGGGGGAGGGGGAGGCTTCTTAGAAGAGCCCCTGCTTCCTAGAAGGCGCGGGCCCTACCTATACATGTGGGGCCCGCGCCTTCTCAGGAGCAGCCTCCTTCTAAGAAGCCCTCCCCCCTCCCCCATACCCCCCGCCCCGGTGCGCGCCGCCAAAAAACATAGTGACTCCCGCTGTCGGCGGTCGGGGTCCACGGCAGACGCCCAGGGAGGTACAACAAGGCACTTCCGGAGAGCACACAGCTACACACACCAGAAATGGAGAGGGCATCAGGACATAGGGATACCCTTGAGCGTGCAAAGCTGGCGTGTTCGTGGACCCCGACTTTGTGCTAAGAGAAAGCAGACGACATGCGCAAATGCCCATGAAGACGACTTGCGAAAACGGACGACGTGCGCAAACGGACGACGTGCTAAGAGAAAGCGGACGACGTGCGCAAATGCCCAAGAAGACGACTTGCGAAAACGGACGACGTGCGAAAACGGACGACGTGCTAAGAAAAAACGGACGACGTGCTAAGAGAAAACGGACGGCATGAGACTGACAGCAGACCACGCCAAGAATACGCATGCAAGGCTGTGCCTGAGCACGCGTGCCATCCTCTCGAAGTGAGCACTGCCTTTGCGCACGGTGCTGGAACAATGGGAGGCGATGCAACGCGCTGCCCTTAGTGGGCCCCGGAAACGGCAGGGCCGTTTTTTCACCGTTTCCGAAAAAAAGCCCCTTGAAAATGGAAACGGCAAAAAAACGGCGACCGGAAACGGCAACAAACACGGCTCCAGGATTGGAACCGGAGCGGGAACCCGTAAAAAAACGGCGACGGAACCGGTAAAAAAACGGCGTCGGAACCGGCAAAGCAACGGCAAAACGGAACCGGTAAAAAACGGCCCTGTCGTTTCCAGGGCCCGCTAAGCCTTCTTTCCCCCCCCCGTCCATGCGCAGCGACGCCGACCAGGCCTGGAAGTCACAGTCTGCCACCTGGGAGGGTACCCCAAGAGAGGCGTGCGGCTCCCCCTGCAGCGGGCAGCGGGGTCACAGAAGAGCGCTCCGCCCCTCTCCCCGTCTTCGGGGGGCAGCCGCGGCCCCTGCGCTGGACAAGCAGACAGCGACATCAACATCAGCTGCTGGAGGTCCCCGCGGATGCCTTGAGTCTGTGCTTAACTCCCCGTCGAGCGCGGAGCGCGCCATGGGCTGCGCCGGAGGCGCCTCCAGGGGGGGTCCAGCGCAAATAGAAGACATCGCGCGGAGCTCCGAACGTTTACGTGTTTGCCGTTGCTTCTTCGATGCGCTTGGATCTGCTACTCGGTTGGTGTTTGGACGAGCCTCTCCGCTGCTGACTATCAAGCCAGAGACAGTTGACACCCTCCCGCCTGCCAGAGGAGGTCGGCGAGATGCGCGAACTGCCGCACGTGGGGCAAGCGCACGTAGTCGGTCTGCGTCCACCATCTGGCAGCACTGTGCGCTTCCAAGAAAGATTACGCGATGGACGGCAAACTACGTGACCGAGACAATTCGAAAGCCGGCACGACAGCCCTAAGAGTGCCCACCGCGTCCCGAACACTTCAAGAGGACGCCAAGCAACAGAAACCCAAGAGGGCCCGAAAGTGCTCCGACGCTGCCGATGGTGAACCCCCCGAAGACGGCCCCAAGACGGCCGCCTCCCGCCCCGCTCGCCACCGAGACCCCAGGAGGGCCCGAGCACCGCTTGCCCGCCAGAGTCCCCAACCCAGACATGCGACGTCCTGATTTTTTCAAGACGGCGCCCCCGGAAGTCCCGACCCTTTCCCCGGGGCCAGTTTTTCATCCTGAGTCGGTTTCTGACGGTCCCGAGGCCCGGCGAAGGCCTCCAGAGCCCGAAAACGGCGAAAAACCTTCGTCCTGAATTTTTTACAACGCAAGCATGTCTGGGAAGGGGTCCCCCGAGAAGGCCCCGACCTGCCCGGCACAGCACCCACGGCGCCGCGCTGCTGCGGTCGGCGGCGCGGCGGCCAGGCGGCGGACCCCGCACCCATCGGGTGCGCCGGCGAGGGCGGGCCAGGACGAGGGGGGGGGGGGCGAGGGCACCGAGGCCCGAGGCGCGTGCGCAGACAAGGGGGGTGGGAGGGCAGGGGGGGCGCAGTGAAAGAAGAATAAGAAGAAGAGGAAGAAGAAGAAGAAGAGGAAGAGGAAGAAGAAGAAGAAGAAGAATAAGAAGAAGAAGAAGAAGAGGAAGAGGAAGAAGAAGAAGACGAAGAGGAAGAGGAAGAAAAAGAAGACGAAGAAGAAGAGGAAGAGGAAGAAGAGGGGGGGGGGTCCCCCAAGAGGCGTCCAAGGCACCTGTTTGCCAGGCACCGGCAGATGCGCTCCGAGAGCTGTGCACCAGCCAGAGCCGCCGGCCGCACTCGGAATCCAACGGTCCTTCACGCTCGGGGACGAAGCCTTGCAGTATGTTGTTCCCATCCTACTTAAGAACCGCATCCCAGAAATAATTTCGAGCACCCGGAAAAGTGTCAAAAGAGTGTCGAAACAGTGTCGGGCGAGTGTCTCCCAGGGCCCCACACGTGAACACCCTTCAGTTTCGGTACTTTTTGGGGCGCTCGAAATTCTTCCTTGGGGTCAAGGCGAAAGTAGGTTTGAGCATCATACGCCTTGCAGAAGGCACTGGGCTGTGGACTCTCCCAGGGGCCTAAGCGGCCTGCGAGCGCCCGCCACCCGCCGGAGACAAACAAGCGAGGGCCTCGAGGCAAGCATGCCATCTGGGAGGCTCCGTGGCCCTCGCCATGATCTCCAAGGCGCGCCCCTCCCCAAGCGCCCTCGAGGGACGCCAGCGCCCACCCCCACCCCCCAAAAGAACGCTTCCGCCCGAGACGGCACCAGACGCTCAAGCCTCCCCCTCGGGCCTCGAACCTGGAACCTCGATCCCCACCTGGCCATCGCTCGGACGTCCATTCCCTGTGATAGTTTGCTGCTTCGTGCGTGGATTCTTTCGCCAGAAAGGATCAAGGATGCTCCTCCAAATGATCAACTGGATTTCTTCGCCAAATGATCAAGTGGATTGTTTCGCCAATGGTCCCCGCCGAAGGAAACATGCACACGTCCGAGCGATGCCGAGCCACGGCCGGGGCCACACGGCCGGCCCGCACGGTGAGCCCCGCCGAGCCCCGACACGCCACCACGCGCGGCCCGTGGCGTGGCGTGCTGGCACGGAGCCCGGCACGCAGACCGAGCACGCAGGTCTTACCAGCCTGGAACATATCTACAGTCGGGGCGTTGACCTAAGGAACCCTAAATAAGGAACGGGGCCCCTTTCTCCCATAAGTTGAACTTCGATTTGCCATGGAAAACCTCAGGAAAACAAAAGGCAAACTGCAGAACAATCAAGGAACACCGAGCCCCTCCCCAACGAGAAGGGTTCCTTCTTCAGGGCCCCGACTGTATCCCTATCCCTATGCTGGGCATCTCCTCATCACGATGCCAATCCTAGGGGTTCCCTTATGATGTTGAGGGCGGATCCCGAAGCTCGTCATCGCCTTGTGGCGTGTCGATCTTAGGCTCGAGGCTGGTCAAGGTCTGGCGCGATACGTTCGCCCAAAAGGTGGGCCGGCACGTGCCCTGCACGCACCGTACAGGGCAGGTTTCAATACACATAGGACTTTAATATTTCTGTGATTCATGTATGACTAAATTCATGCATGAACTCATCCTTGCATGTATTAATCAACCCTTTGTTTGTAATGCATGGTCCGCACGCGGAGCGTGTATTAAAAACGGCACTGTATCAAGACAGACGTCTTGAGCACGGTCCGTGTTGGGTTTCAACATGGGCGCATGAGGGCAGCGAAGGTCCTCGTGTGTCGATCCTGGAAACTCGATCCTCATAAACGGGGTAATACGGTCAGCCCCATGTATGAGGATGCGCGGTAAGGATTATGGTGTCCCCATCGCACTTCAGGACCACATTCCAAAGGGATAATTTCGAGCATCCCGAGAGAGGTATCGAAACAGTGTCTGCCCGACACGCTGGCGAAGTACCGAACGAAATTCGCCTCCGAAGGCCCGACACGTGGAAACAGTCAAGTTTCAGTGCTTTCCTGGTGCTCGAAATTCTTTCTGGTGGATGCAAGGGCCTTGGAAGGCCATGTCGACACGTTGCGAGCGGGGCGCTCCCGGCGAAAGCGGCCGAGGATTGGCATTTCTCGGATCCGCGCTGGACCCCCCTGGCGGCGCCTGCGGCGCCGCCCCTGGCGCGCTCCGCGCGCCAGGGAGGGGGGTCCAGCGCCGATCCGAGAAATCCGCGCGGATCTCCGAGTTTTTATGTTTATGCCACTACTTGTTCCCCTAATTATGCGGGTTGACTGTAGCAATGTCCTGGTTCAGAAAGCCCTCAGGTGACAGTTTGCGCCCACCGCCGGAAACTGGCACCCAGGGCGGAAACACGACCACAGCACGAGATCAGCCACCGCACGAGATCAGCCCCAGCGAGAGCTTCCTTAGAGGGCGAAGCAAACATATCAAACTAATACCAACTTGCCGTTTGACGCCTTTTGCCCAAGCATGGAAAGAAACGCGGTGCTGCAATCGTCGGCCACAATGTTGGCCAAAGAGATGTGCGACTGCTGCAAGCGGTCATAGAAATAACGTCGAACGTATCTGGGCGTGGTTATATCTGGAGATGGGGCGCCTGGACCCTCAAGTCTCCCGACGCCTACGTGCGATGAAATGCCACCGTCCGTCATGGATTTGGGCAAGCAGAGCATAGCGAAAGTTTCGAGGAGGAGGAGGAGGAGAAGTGGGATCATATTGCGAATGATCCTAGATCGATCCGCTCAGAATGCACATGATGTGTGTGACCCCTTCTGTTCGGATTCACGCTGTGAATACTCAACAGACACTGACCTGCAACAACACAACACTAACCGACACGGGACATCCGGCAAGACTGGCCAGAACAAGAACGCAAAAGGAATCTGGGATTTGCTTTCTTGCAAAGACCCTGCCGCCCTGACTAGATCGCCAAGCCAAGCCAGCAGGAGCAAAGAGACAATGAGACGCGGTCTGGCCAAGAGGTACAATGCCACAAAGGGACGCAAGCTTCCAAGAAAGTGGCCTCGCAATCTCTGCGGCATCCAATGGGCCGTCCATGGTCTCACCATCTATGGCCCATTCGGCGCGGAGGTTGTTGAACTGAGAACCATTTGTGGTAATCCTTGGATTCGCATGCAGATGATGCTGTATCAGTGGAAGCGTCCAGGATGACCCAGACACAAATACTGGTATGCTGAGAGCGTACCATTCAAGGAACGTGATAAGCTCCCAATTCCAAGGAATAAATACTCCCGCGCGAAAGGTAGCCAACACGGACCAGTCCACGGCCGTCTCGTAACCTGAGTTAACATCTCCCAGATCGGAGTTGATGCTCCGCTTACGCTCCCTAGCGATCTCCACCATATATGTTTACAATGCTTTTGCTGGCCGGGAGGGGCCACTCTCGCGGCTGTTGCGATCATCGGCCCGATTCCTGCAGGCCGCGCTGAGCCCACGGCTCACGAACCGGTACGGACATGCGATGCCGATGCACAGATCGTCCAGTAGCTGCCACACGAGCTCGGAGCCCATGTTCCCCAGCGCAAGCTTCAGCCGCGACAGGAGGATCTGGGGGAGCTTGCCACACTGAAGGGGCCCTGGGACACACAAATAAATACACACAAATAAAAAGATTCCCCATATGTTCCTATATTTTCTTGGTTTTTGTCTTCCCCACCACTTCCCATATTTTCCTATATTTTCCTGGGGATCGACGATTAATTGTGTCTGTGTGTTTTTTCCCCTCCTGACACACGACATCCTCCTCATTATCTACGGCTCGCCCCGGCTCCGGCTGGCGCAAGCAACAGGTCTTCGGAAACGAGCGGCGCTTCCCAAGGGTTTCACTGCTGCCATGTAAACATTCAATAAAAAAGGGCGAAGGAGGAGGAGAACGAGGAGTGCGGAGGGAATGAACGACGAGAAGGATACGAACGTGAATGAGGGTTGCTCGAAATTGCAGACTATTTTCCCGATGGCGAACAGGAGGGAGGATGAGAAGGGGGTCTCAACTAACGTCCGCGCTATTCCTCCTCAGTTTATAACCCCCCCTGCCTGGATCTCCCCTAGGGTGCGTTATGGAAGGAATTTCGAAGCGGATCCAGCAGTGGCGACTAGGAGGTATCAACCAAACGAAACAAAACTCAAAATCAAGACACGATCCTCATACCACGATCCTGGACCTTTCGTCCTCTGACACGGTGATTTGTTCAACGAAAAGGCCCCGCAGCTCACAACTCTCGTGTCCTTCCGCGAAACCGTTTCTTCATCGTGGAAAGTCTCCTCATGGCCCCGTGGCCCGCAGGGGGCTCCCGATGCCCGAAATTGCGAAAGACCCCCCATGTGCATGCTGTCGTGGCCGGCTGCGGGGGCCATGTATCGAAAATGAAATTTTGCGTGGCAACAGGAGCAGCCGTGCGCCGAGACATCGCATCGTGGCGCAATCGTGTGCCAACTAGACGACTCGCGCTCTGGCCGTTTTGCCCAGGGGCCGGAGACATGCAACCAAAAAGACAGCACCAAGCAAGGACTCGGGAATTAGCCTGGCGAAGGACCCAACCCTATGCAGTTGTGAGTAATGCTGGTGTGAGTACCGTCTTCGGTGGATCTCCCTATGGGGTCACGAACCGTTTGAGGGGTGTGCCGAAATGGGTGTGGGGGCGGCATGCGAACGTTGCCACTGGGGCCTTCGGTGGAGCTCCTCATGGGGCCACGAAACGTGTGAGGGGTGCACCGAAGTTGGTGTGGGGGCGGCATGCGAACGCAGCCACTGGGGCCTTCGGTGGAGCTCCCTGTGGGGCCACGAAACGTGTGAGGGGTGTGCCGAAATTGGTGTGGGGGCGGCATGCGAACGCAGCCACTGGGGCCTTCGGTGGAGCTCCCTATGGGGCCACGAAACGTGTGAGGGTGTGCCGAAATGGGCGGTGGGGAAGCATGCGGACCCTGCCACTGGGGCCTTCGGTGGAGCTCCCTATGGGGCCACGAAACGTGTGAGGGGTGTGCCGAAATGGGTGGTGGGGAGGCATGCGGACCCTGCCACTGGGGCCTTCGGTGGAGCTCCCTATGGGGCCACGAAACGTGTGAGGGGTGTGCCGAAATGGGTGGTGGGGAGGCATGGGACCCTGCCACTGGGGCCTTCGGTGGAGCTCCCTATGGGGCCACGAAACGTGTGAGGGGTGTGCCGAAATGGGTGGTGGGGAGGCATGCGGACCCTGCCACTGGGGCCTTCGGTGGAGCTCCCTATGGGGCCACGAAACGTGTGAGGGGTGTGCCGAAATGGGTGGTGGGGAGGCATGCGGACCCTGCCACTGTGGCCTTCGGTGGAGCTCCTTAAGGGGGCCCCGAAACGTGTGAGGGGTGTGCCGAAATGGGTGCGGGGGCGGCATGCGGACCCTGCCACTGGGGCCTTCGGTGGAGCTCCCTATGGGGCCACGAAACGTGTGAGGGGTGTGCCGAATGGGGGCCATGGGTGGTGGTGGAGGCATGCGAACGCAGCCACTGGGGCCTTCGGTGGAGCTCCCTATGGGGCCACGAAACGTGTGAGGGGTGTGCCGAAATGGGTGGTGGGGAGCATGCGGACCCTGCCACTGGGGCCTTCGGTGGAGCTCCCTATGGGGCCACGAAAAGTGTGAGGGGTGTGCCGAAATGGTGGTGGGGGGCATGCGGTGCCACTGGGGCCTTCGGTGGAGCTCCCTATGGGGCCACGAAACGTGTGAGGGGTGTGCCGAAATGGGTGGTGGGGAGGCATGCGGACCCTGCCACTGGGGCCTTCGGTGGAGCTCCCTATGGGGCCACGAAACGTGTGAGGGGTGTGCCGAAATGGGTGGTGGGGAGGCATGCGGACCCTGCCACTGGGGCCTTCGGTGGAGCTCCCTATGGGGCCACGAAACGTGTGAGGGGTGTGCCGAAATCGGATGATGATGATGATGATGATGATGAGGAGGATGATGAGGATGAGGATGAGGATGAGGATGAGGATGAGGATGAGGATGAGGATGAGGATGAGGATGAGGATGAGGATGAGGATGAGGATGATGATGATGATGATGATGATGATGATGATGATGATGATGATGATGATGATGATGATGATGATGATGGGAGGAAGGAGGGGGGGGGAGGAGGAGGAGGTGAGGAACGCGGGGCGCCGTCTCTTCAAAACGAGGACCCAACACCACAGGATGGTTCGGAAAAAAGCAAATGCGCGTGGGGGGGAGACGCACGTGCACATCCCGTGGCATGGACGCAACCGTGCGATTAGAGATCGCCCTGTTACGCGACCTTGGGAACAAGAGTTGAAAGCGGAGTGAAACGGATGAGCAGCGGGAGAAACACGACGGGCAGGGGGAACACAGAGGATCCGCGAGGCAAATGAGCAGGCAACATCAGCGGGAGGGAGGGGGTACCGCAACAACAGTGCACGGCATCCTCGTTTGGCGCACCAAGGCCTCGTCGCTGCTGCTGTGTTGCGGGTGTGCAGGCAGCGGGAGGGCCCGGGACCGAAGGGGCCGCGGTGGGGACGGAGACGCACAGGCACGTCTCGTGGCAAGGCAAGGGCGTGGCCCTGCGTCGAGAGATCGCCTCGTGGCGCGAGGTGTGCGACGAAGAAGACGTCCTCGCGTTGCAGCCGTGCGGAACGCAGCCGCCCTTCGCCCGACCCCCTTCCTAAATCCCCCCTTCCTAAATCCCAGCCGCCTTTTTTTTGTTTTTTTTGTTTTTTTTGTTTTGTTTTTTTGGGGGGAATCCCAGCCGCCCTCGCCCGACCCGACGCGCGGGCCTCCCGCGGCAGGGGCGCGGCCGTGCGACACCGAAGGGGGGCATCACACGGCGGGGGCGGCGGCTCGAGCGAGCAGCGGCCGCCGGCCGAGCGCAGAGGCGCGGCCCTCCCCGGCCGCTGCAGGCGGAAGGCGCTCCGCCGCCCCCGCCCCCGCACCCGCCACACGCACACAAACACACACACACACACACGCACACACACACACACACACACACACGCACACACACACACACACGCACACACACACACACACACACACGCACAGCCACACACACACGCACACACACGCACACGCACACGGTACGCACACACCCACATGGACACAACACACACGCAACAAAAAAGCGAGCAGCCCTCGGAGGAGGACAGGGGCGGAGGATCACGGGGAGGCCGACGAGGACGACGGGGAGAACTGACAGCAGAGCCCCTAGACTGACAACGGTGCCCCTACCCCGAGTCACCAGCGTCGCAGGCGACGAGGCCGCGGCGTCCTCCGTGCCTCTCGCGCCAGCGGAAGGAGCTGCTGCCTCCAGCTCTACGAAGTCAGTGGATCCAACGGGGCGCTAAAGCGTCGAGTGCTAGAACCAGGAGCTCACAGGGTCGAGCGTCGCTTGACGTGGGTGGGACCGCGTGGGGCCCACGAGGTCCAAGGTCTCGAGGTACTGTACCCTCGCTTGGATGTGGCGGAGCACGAGAAGCATCTGCAAAGTCGCCACCAGGAATGCCGAACAGGCCACCTGGCAGACTGGTGCCTTCATCGTTGAGCAGGCAGCTTGAGATCTCCAGGAGCCTCTCCCGCTGTATCATTCGGCGAATGGTCCTGGGCAGCTCCACAGGAAGTTTCGAAGGCAAATTCAGCATCACGTCCTCCAGCGACAGCCTTCCCATCTCGGGTGAATCGGTGCTGTCGAAGGCCTCCTCCATGAATCGGAACGAGGTCTGGAGATCCCGCCAGAGCATCTCCAATTTCATCTCTCTATCCTCTGAGGCATGCGTGATCGCGGACTTCGCGATGACGGCCGACGAGGAAAATGGTAAATGTAATACCCGAACAAATCAGTCATACCATGAGATGCAAAACTACCCATGGCCAACCAACCGACCTTTACCAGCTCAGTGAGGCAAAGGACGCAGCATTTCTTCAACGACCGTCCTCCGAGATGTGCGCAGCCATTGTGCAAACAGCTGCGAACATCTCGGTTCGTGTACAAAGTATTTGAGGAAAGCTAAAGGTGACCCAGCCCCGCTTCGCCAGAACCCGCGGCGATGATGTCCAGAAGGCGTCTCGAAATTTAGCCACAAATTCAATGCTCCGCCTATTGAGGGCGAAACTCGGGCACTCTACCCACAAGTGTTGGTGTTGGGCACCTGGGCCAACGCCACCACAATGACTGCATGGCACCCCCGTCTGGCGTGTCGTATCCGAGGCCGCTGCCCCCGATCTGCAGACAACCAGGGTTGAGGATGTGTGCTGGGGGACGCCCCCCCCGCCCGCTCCACGGACCGGAGCTGCCGTCAGCTGAACAAAAAAAAAGCACCAGCTACGGCAGACCTGGTTCAGTGATTCTAGCACCCTCTGGGGCCCTACTGCTAATCGGGTCCCCTTACCTGGGGTCCTGGCTACGGCAGGTTCGTGTCGTGCCGACCCCAGCGTTGGTTTTTGACACCGCAGGGATCGTTCAACCTTGAACGATCGGCCGCTGCCGCAACGTCCGATCGTTCAACATCGATCGATTCTGGGTCGCCGGCGGCGTTCAACCTTGAACGCCCGCGCTGGGGTCGCCGCTGGTCGACACGACGCAAACCTACCGTATACCCGACGGGCGCTCACAGGGTCGAGCGTCGTTCGACGCGGGTGGGACCGCGCGGGGCCAGCGAGCATCCAGACCTCGCCCAGGCTGGCCGCGTCACGTGCACCCAGCTCTCTGGTACTCCTCTCACGCAATGTCAAGTCGGGCCTGTCCCTCTACAGGGGGAGTCGTCGAAAATAGTCACACCACACAAAAAAAATGCCGACGATGTGTCTGCTATTGTTTGAGTACGTTCGAAGATCTTTTGGCTCTGTCTTACGTCTCGTCCACACTCCACCCGGAGGGGGACCCCCCCGAGCTGATCTCAGACCCACAACCCTTTGGCCCAACTGGATTCCCCACCTGACTGCACGTAAGGGCGGCCCTGGGCAAAACACGACCAGTGGGGCACAACTTTCGAGGGGGGGGCCTGGGGGCATGGAGGGGGGTGGGTGGGACGGCGGCATCAGCGGGATCGCCGTGCTCTCGTCCTATGGGGGCCCTCGTTCGGGGCTCGATGAGAGGCAGGGGGCCTGCCGAGCAGCGGGAGGCAAACGAGAGCCTCCCCTCCTCCTCCTCCTCCTCCCCCTCCTCCTCCCCTCCTCCTCCTCCTCCTCCTCCTCCTCCTCCTCCTCCTCCTCCTCCTCCTCCTCCTCCTCCTCCTCCTCCTCCTCATCCTCCTCCTCCTCCTCCTCCTCCTCCTCCTCCTCCTCCTCCTCCTCCTCCCCCCCTCCTCCCCCTCCTCCTCCCCTCCTCCTCCTCCTCCTCCTCCCTCCTCCTCCTCCCTCCTCCTCCTCCTCCTCCTCCTCCTCCTCCTCCTCCTCCTCCTCCTCCTCCTCCTCCTCCTCCTCCTCCTCCTCCTCCTCCTCCTCCTCCTCCTCCTCCTCCTCCTCCTCCTCCTCCTCTCTGTTGGCCCTGTGGGGGCCCCAAGAAACTGCGGGGCCCCCAACGGGGTGGTGACCACACCGTGCGGTGAGCTTGTGGGGATTCGGGGTCACCGCACGGTCTTGGGGCTCGGGTCCCTCTCCGAGGACGTCTCGGGCGACTGGGGCCTCCGAGGTCCCAAGACCTTGCGGTGACGGACCGTGCGGTGAGGTCTTGGGGGATTTCGAGGTCACCGCACGGTCTGCCACCGCACCGTTTCGGGACTCCAGAGAAACGAAAAGGTACCGATGCCGCTGCTCCCCGGACCTCTCCCGGGGGGCGCTCTGGCAAGGACTCCGAGGCGAATCCAGCGGTGGCGACGAGGGCCTCCCAGGAGGGACAACACGGGGGAAAGCTACAGAAGGGTACACGGCAGGTTTTAATACATGGGATGTTGTTTAACAAAGGATGTTTAATACATGACTAATGTATGGATAAATTAATGCATGAACTCATCCTTGTATGTATTAATAAACCCTTTATATTTGATACATGGTCCGCACGCGGAGCATGTATTAAAAACGGCACTGTAGCGTTGTGGGTACCTTTTCTCTCTTCTGAAGCCCGCACTCGCGGTCATTCTGGCGAGGGGCCACTCTGACATACAGCTGGCCTCAACGCTGGCCTCTGGCTTTCGGGCCATGACTTCTTCTCCAGCAGCCACCCGCAGGACGATATCCGGGCACCCCAGGGACGCCTCCGGGCGAGGCGCAGCTGCTGGAGAGCATCCCGAGGCTGGAAAACCGACGAGAACAAACGAGGAAATCCGAACACCTCGAACCTCGAAGCCTCGCCCCCCCCCCCCGCCGGCGCCGACGGGCAAGAGAGGCGGCCCGGCACGGCGGCGGCTTCCTGGCGGCTGGGCCCGCTGTCGACCGCTGGCGGGGAGGGGACGCCGCCCGCCTCCGCGAGTGGGCAGGGCGGAGGTGGGGGGGGTGGGGGCAGGCAGAAGCGCACACCGCCTGCGCGTCCGAGCGGGCCGAGCGCGGGGGAGAGGAAGGGCAGGACCCAGGCAGCCTCACCTCGTGGAGAGAAGGCGCTGCGGGGCACGACGGGAAGCTTCTGACGATGCTCGGCCTCCAGGGGGGCCCTTGCCGGGCCCCGAGGCCGTCCAGAACCGGCCAGGGATGAAAAGCTAGCCCCCTGAAAAGATCGGGACCTCTCTAGGTCCACGTCCTTTTTTTTAAAAAAAAACAAAAGAACAAACAAAACAAATCTTGCAACAAGTCGGGGGTCCGTGGAGCGGGCCGGGCGCGGGGAGGAAGGGCAGGAACACGCGGGAGCGGGCAGGCGCACGCAAGCTGGCAAGGGCGAGGCCCCGAGCCGGCATCGCCCCGAGGAAGGGGTGGGCGGGGATGCCCGGTCGGAGAGGGGGCGCAGAAAGGGGCGGCAGGCGGGCTAGACCTAGACACATCTCAGCGCAACGGCCAGGAGCTACTGGCCATCGCTCGGACGTACATTCCCTGTGTTTTTGTTCGGTTTCGCGCGTGGCCTTTTTCCCCAAATGATCAAGGGTGCTCCTCGATGGTCCTCGCCGAAGGAAAAAGGCACACGTCCGAGCGATGCCAAGGCTAGGACGCAGAAGGGGGAGGAGGCCCCCAGGGCACCCGAGCCCGCCCAGCGGGGGCAGGAGACCCAGCCAGCGGCTAGCTCCCCTGGGCCCCCGTGGAAGCGGAGCGGCGGGCGGGGGCGGCGGAGGAGGGGGAGAGCGGGCTCTGACTCGCCTCCAGCTGTCCTCGTGGGAGCAGGTGGCGTGTCTCCGGCTCGAATGCAGCTCGCCGTGCCCGCTGGGAGCCGATCGCCGTCGATGCCTGACTGGCCATCGCTCGGACGTCCATTCCCTGTTTTTTTTTTTGGTTTCGTGCGTGGCTTTTTCGCCAAATGATCAAGGACGCTCCTCTATGGTCCTCGCCGAAGGAAAAATTGACACGTCCGAGCGATGCCAAGCTGATGTCCTCGCCGTTCCCTTGCCCTGCTCGTCCGCGCCCACCTGCCTTCAACTGCTGCCTTGTAAGGTTGGGGCTGTCTACCGAACGAGTTATGAGGAAGGTGGGGCAAAAAGAGAAAGGGAAGGAGGAGGCAAGAGGAGCAGGAGGAGGTAAGGTAAGGTACGGCGACGACGACGACGACGACGGCGGCGGCGACGACGACGACGAACGACGAGCGAAAACGAGAGCGAGAGCGAGAGCGAGAGCGACTGCGGCGGGGCCACGAAGGGCATGAAGGGGGCCACGAAGGGCGACAACGGGGCCACGAAGGTTGCAATAGGCGGCTTCCTCAGAGAGCTAGTCACGCAAGACGAAATTCGCCTGGCCAGAAACATGCCCAAAAATAGTTGACATGACAATCCAAAGAAACAAGTTCAATAGATGTTCAATACACTATGAACGTAAGCGAGACTGAACATAAGACCAGGCCCCCGGGGGAGGCGCGAATGCGCGGCGCTAAGCGCCTTCTACTCTCGCCGATCCGCTCGTGGAGCGCACTGCTGCCCGGGGAGACTGGCCGCGCAGGCACGGGGGAGAGAGGAAAGTCATATTCATAGAACGCATAACAGTAATTAGGGGGAGGGGGCGGGAAGGAGAGGAGAAGAAGGGGGCCTGGGGGGGGGTCCTGGGGGGGGGTCCCGGGGGGGGGTCCCGGTCAGAATACCACCTCCCTCCTCCTCCTCCTCCTCCTCCTCCTCCTCCTCCTCCTCCTCCTCCTCCTCGAAGGGGCAGGGCCCTCGACCCTGGGAGGTCGTTCGAACCCCAGTAATTCTCCCGGGCGGCGACAGCCCGGCGGCCCTGCCACAGCGGAAGCGCAGGGCCGGGCTCGCATCGAGATCCTGGTCGGAACGCGCGCCAGATCGAGGCCAGAGGGCTGCCTCGGTCTAGGCTTCCTAGGTGGGGTCAGAGTAGACCCAAACATGCTTGCGTCGTAAAAAATTCAGGACGGAGGTTTTTCGCAGTTTTCGGGCTCTGGAGGCCTTCGCCGGGCCTCGGGACCGTCAAAAAACGACTCAGGATGAAAAGCCGGCCCCGGGGAAAGGGTCGGGACTTCCGGGGGCGCCGTCCTGAAAAAATCAGGACGTCGCATGTCTGGGGATGGGGTCGGAAGATCGCGCCGCATCGCAGATGCATCGGCGATGCGGCTCGACGTGGGACCCGATTGGCTCCATGTCGACGCCGCCGATGCACCGCCGACGTCGGCCATCGATGCATCGCGCCGATGCACCACCGACGCATCGCCGACGCATCGCCGACGCATCGGCGATGCGTCGCGATCCTCCGACCCCACCTGCTCCGACCCTATCCAGGAGGCCTCTGCTCAGACTCCCCAGACATGCGACGTCCTGATATTTTCAGGACGGCGCCCCCGAAGTCCCGACCCTTTCCCCGGGGCCGGCTTTTCATCCTGAGTCGTTCTTTGACGGACCCGAGGCCCGGCGAAGGCCTCCAGAGCCCGAAAACTGCGAAAAACCTCCGTCCCGATTTTTTTACGACGCAAGCATGGCCTCCGTCCCAGCTGGGTCTCGCTTCTAGAGCCTCGGCCCTCCCCGGGTCTCCTTCGCCCCGGGTCCCGGGGCAGCGAACTCCACCCTGATGGTCCGCTACCGAAAATTTCCGGTAGCGCTCCGCAGAGATCGGTCGCTAACCGAAATGCCGAAATGCAGCGCCCAATACCGGTATCAGAGCGTTCTGAAATCCGCTATTCCAGCGCCCTCAAACGAAGATCTGGTCGCTACCGAAATTCGGGGTGCGTCGAAATCGCTACCGGAAATTTTCGGTAGCGGACCATCAGGGCAGGGCGCGCCCCCGGGGGGCCGCCGGGGCAGACGGCAGTCGCTGCAAGCTGCGCGCGGTCTCCGGGGCCCGCCGGAGAAGATGGGAAGCAATGGGCGCGATCTCCGGGGCCCCAGATCGAGCGCATGATCGAGAAGGTACACGTACATTTGCTTGTACTGTGTTGTATTGTTTTGTATCCTTGGTATTTTCTTGCATTTTGCCAAACCTGAAACAATACGAAAAACACTGAGAATACCAAATAATACGCGCGATCACCTGGGGCCATCGGGGAGCCTCGTCTCCTCCTCCTCCTCCTCCTCCTCCTCCTCCTCCTCCTCCTCCTCCTCCTCTTCCTCATACTCCCCCCCCCAACTCCTCCCCCCCCCCTCGTCTGGGCCCCCGAAGGCCCTGGTCGAACCCCATAGCCTACGGCCTATGGGGGCCCCCTGTGGGTGGAACCCCGCGGGCTAACCCCATTTGGGCGGACCCTTGCTGGGAGACCCATGCGAGCGGGCCCCCAATTGCGGACCGTAACGACGGACCCGCATGGGCGACCCCAAATGGGTGGACCCTCATAGGCGGTCCCCTATGGGCGAACTATTTTGGGGCTTGGAGGAACAAGGGCGCATCCACTGAGCTGTGCATAAGTGATCGCACGCTGTCCGCCGCGCTGGATACCTTGAGATTCGCAGTGTGACATGTGATTGATGCGTTTGTAGAGCATACGGACAAACAACAAGTTGAACAACCATCATGAATACACTGTGAACAGACTACAGCATAGCAAGGAACATGTATATCTCGTAACGATTACCTTTATTCAATATCTGGAATAGTTCACATATGTTTCATATGTAATTCCATATGCTTCCATATTTGAATTTCGTCCCAACTCATCGCCTCTCTCTCTGAGATCCGCCTATTGCAACACGAAGGGCATGCGTATGGGGCCACGAAGGGCGCGAACGAGCGGGGGCCACGAAGGGCAGATGAGAAGGGGCCACAGAGGGCAACGACGGTGCCACTGAGGATAGCGACGGGGCCACGTGAGACACCGAGGGGGCCACAGAGAGCGACAGCGAGGCCAGGGAGCGCATGCCTATGGGGCCACGACGGGCGCGAACGAGCGGGGGCCACGAAGGGCATCCATACATGTGGCCACGAAGGACAGCGAGGGGGCCACGAAGGGGTGCAACGGGACCACGAAGGGCAGCGAGGGGGCCACGAAGGGGCGCAACGGGACCACGAAGGGCAGCGACGGGGCCACGAAGGGCTGCAACGGCAGCGAGGGGGCCACGAAGGGCTACAACTGGGCCACGAAGGGCAGCGACGGGGCCACGAAGGGGTGCAACGGGGCCAAGAAGGACAGCGAGGGGGCCACGAGGGGCTGCAACGGGGCCACGAAAGGCAGCGAGGGGGCCACTGCAACAGGGCCACGAAGGGCAGCGAGGGGGCCACGAAGGGCTGCAACGGGTCACCGAAGGGCAGCGAGGGGCCACGAAGGACTGCAACGGGGCCACGAAGGGTAGCGAGATCCCGATTTTCTAAATCAACTGTGAGGGAGTCCTGGGCGTGAGCGCGACTCCTGGGTGAGCGCGGCGCTTGAACAAAGTGCGGGCGATTCCTATGCAAGAGCGCGATTTTTGAGTAAATTGCAAGGAAGTCCCCAGCGATTCCTGAATACATTGTAGGGAAGTCCCAAGCGAGAGCGCGATGCCTGAGTAAAACGCGAGGAAGTCTCAGGCGGGAGCGGAGGTCCTGGCGAAATTGTAAGGGAAGCTCAGGCGGGAGCCGTTGTTGCTGACACCCGGGAGCCCACAACGCAGTTTGAGCCTAGTGACTTCCCCTGATAAGTAACAGGGTGCGAGCCCCAGGGGAAACACTTCAATTGAACAACCACAATGGTTACCGGAGGTGGAATCAACAATACAGATTCTCCAGTAGCGGAAGTTCAACAACAACAACAACAACAACAACAACACACAAAAAACAACAGCAGCACCAACAACGACGACGAAAACACCACCAACCAAAACAATATCACTATCAACAACAACAACAACAACACCAACAACTACAACAACAACAACACTAACAACAACGACAACCACAACGACAACGACAGCGACAACGACAACAACAGCAGCATCAGCAGCAACAGCAACACCAACAACGAAACCACCACCAACAACAACATCAACAACACGCATCAAACCGAACAACAACAGCCACAGTGACAACAGCAACAGCAGCAGCAGCAACGACAATGACACCAACAACAATAAAATCAACACCACCAACAACAACAATAGCAGCACCAACAGCAGCAACAACAGCAGCAGCAACAACGCAAACTAGCATCAACAATAACAGCCGCAGCAACAATACCAACAACAACAGCAACAACAACGACAATTACTAGCACGTGGGGACACTCCGTTCTCACCAGTGCCAGGGTTTTCATAGGAGGCGGGCAATACCCCCACTTTGTGGGGGGGCCGGTTCAAGCTCTACCAAATTTCCAAACGACTCTTCGCCACCACCCACACCCAGCTTCCCGCCCTATGACGTTCGGACACTTCACTTCGTGGCATGCGGACGACCGTGGCTACTATTCAGGGCCCCGCGGCCGACGACGACGGCGTGCGCGCGCGAAGAAAAAACGAATGTGTCCCGCATGGTATTATTTGACAGGGATGATGGCCCTGGCAGGTGCGCAACCGTTGTTGCAGAAGTTCGAAAAAGTTGCTCGCAAAAGCCCGTTTGACAGAAATGTTTAAAAAGTGTTGGGTTTCCTACGAATCCGCAAGAGCGCGCGGGATGAAAGTTTGACATTAAAAAAAAAAAAAAAAAAAAAAAAAACCATTGGCTTTTTGATGTTTTAATGTTAAAATCGCTACGACAACTAAGGTTTTGGAAGGATTTCGTCTTGCGCGCGCGAATGTCCACTTTACCTTATTTTTTGCAAGGGATTCTTGAAGTTTGGTTATGTTAGAACAAGAAATGTCCACTTTAGCTTATTTTTTGCAAGGGAAAGCGGGCCGTAACAAAACAACCGGATCCGGACCAACCCGTTTTGCCTGAGACTTCCTCACGAAATTGATGAAAATGTGGCTGCGGCCTAGGCGCGGCGGGGGGGCCATGCACCAGGGGCCCCAACAATAATTATTCTTTAGAAGTAATAATGTTCAAAAACAATAACGACAACAAAAACGACAACGACGACGACAACAACAACAACAATACCAACAACAACAACAGCAGCAGCAGCAACAACAATAACAACAACATCAAAACAACACCAACAACAACCACAACAACAACACAAAACACCAGAGCGAAACGGAACATCTGAACAGATAGACCTTAAAGTGCCTACAAGGAACTCAGGGAGCCGCACGCGATCCAGGATCACGGAGGAGGAGCGGGGAAAAAGGACCCAGGCGGATGGGGGAGGGACGGAAGTGCCCAGCCCAAGCTCCTGTGCTCCTGCGCTTCGCGGACGCGGCACGGAGCGGAAGGGAGGGGAGGCCCATACCATTAGGTCGGGCCTGTCCTCTGACCGGAGTATTTCAGAAGACAAGTGGAACACAATCAAAACATATTCAGAAAGATGCAAAAACACAACATCGAAACATCGTCCCCAGACAAATTGTTTAACTACTTTTGGGCTGCTCCTCCTGCAGAGGGGCACGTCTGTTGAGTAGGGCTGGGGGGTCAGGTATGCAGAACACCCCAAGCGGACGTCAATCTGTTCGGTCAAGCTGAAAATGATGCACCACACCCGGCGTCAAGCCAAAGCCATGAACATGAGCGAATGGCTTGGCTTTGCACATTTTCGTCAGCTTAACCGGCGAGGCGTTTGACCACCTTGACGTTCCATTCGGCGGTGGACAAACCTTCCTTTAGTAAACCTCCCTTTAGTGAAAACGGCCTAGGACCGAAACCGACGGACCTGGACCCGCAAAAATGACGGCCGCGACGCCCTCTCGTGAACCGAAAACGGCCAATTCCTTAGTCGACGTGTCAGGGTAGGAGGTCTGTCCACCCCCGATCCTTTCTTGGTGGTCCTGCAGAGGAAGGCGCTCTCTGACCCTCGGCCCTACTCAACATACCGTATCGGAGGCCCTCGCCCCTGCTGGCGGCGGCCGGCGGCGGATCCTGCAAAATCCTGCAGGATCCTGGGCCCAAGCCGGGTCCATGCAATCCTGGCCCTGCACGATCCTGCAGGATCCTGCGCCCAAGCCCGGGCCAATGCGCCCCCGGCCCTGCGGGATCTGGGGAGACCAAAAGGTACCGATACTGCTCTACTCCCAGGGCCTCCCCTGGGGTGCGCTCTGACCAGGATTTCGAGGCGAATCCAGCGGTGGCGACGAGAACCTCCCAGGAGGCCCAAGAAAAAGGGGAAAACGAGGAAAGGCTGGAGGTATGGGTACCCTTTCCTCCTCCCAGGATCCTGCAAGATCCGGCGCCCTGGCTGACCCCCGGTTGCATAGACCCCCCGTCTCTGAAGGGGCCCTGGGACACACAAATAAAGACACACGAATGAAAAGATCCCCCAATGTGTCCCATATGTTCTGGGCTTTGTCTCCCCCCCAATCCCCATTGTCTCCCATATCTTCTTGGGAATCGACGATGACTTGTGTACCCAGACATGCGACGTCCTGATTTTTTCAGGACGGCGCCCCCGGAAGTCCCGACCCTTTCCCCGGGGCCGGTTTTTCATCCCGAGTCGTTTTTTGACGGTCCCGAGGCCCGGCGAAGGCCTCCAGAGCTCGAAAACGGGGAAAAACCTCCGTCCTGAATTTTTTACGACGCAAGCACGTCTGGGTATGTGTGTTTTTTCCCCTCCTGAGTTTCTCGAGGCCCGACCTCGCCCCTGCTGGCGGCGGCCGGTGGCGGCAGCGCCGGCCGCCGCCGGGGCGCGCGCCTCCGCGCCGGCCCTCGGGGGCCAGAGCACGGCCTCGGGCGCCGAGGCCTCGGTGAGCGCCCCCGAGATGTAGCGGGCGCCAAAGGACAGCCTCGGAGGGGGTGTCGAGGGGGGGAGGAGGGGGAGGAGGAGGAGGAGGAGGAGGAGGGGGAGGGGGAGGAGGAGGAGGAGGAGGAGGAGGAGGAGGAGGAGGAGGAGGAGGAGGAGGGCGCCCCCGTCTGAGGGCAGGTTCGCGTCGGGTCGACCCCGGCGGCGGTTCCTGACACCACGCGTGTCGTTCAAGCTTGAGAACGATCGGCCGCTCCGCGAACGCCGGATCGTTCAACGACGGGCCGATTCTGGGCCACGGGGGGCGTTCCACCTTACATGCACGCGCTGGGGTCGCCGCCTGTCGGCGCGACGCGAACCTGCCGTAGGTCGGGCATGTCCTCCTGCAGGCGGACTTCGGAAGACAGATCAAGCATGACCCCCGGAAATCAAAAATAGTCTACAAAGAACAGCAACACCGTCCTCAGACTTCTGTTTTACTATTCTTGAACATTCCGCCTGTAGGGGGGCAGGCCCGACTTCACCCCAATCTCCCATCCCCCTTGCTCCCTCCCGCCTCTTTGAAGGGGCCCTGCGACACACAAGGAAATAGACACAAATAAGATGATTCCCCAAATGTTACATATTTTCTGGGCTTTTGTCCTCCCCCCACTTCCCATATTTTCCCATATTTCCCTCGGGGTCGACGATAAATTGTGCCTGTGTGTTTTGCTCCCTCCGGCCTCTTGCCTCCTCCTCCTCCTCCTCTCCCTCCTAGTCCCCCTCCTCCTCAGACTCCCTCCTCCTCCTCTTCCTACTCCTCCTCCCTCCCTCCTCCGCCTCCTCCTCCTCCTCCTCCTCCCTCCCTCCCTCCGTCCCTCCCTCCCTCCCTCCCTCCCTCCCTCCCTCCTCCTGCTCCTCCTGCTCCTCCTCCTCCTCCTCCTCCTCCTCCTCCTCCTCCTCCTCCCTTCCGCCTCTTGCTTCCCCAAGATCTCTCCCTCCTTCGGCTGCACGCAGGGAGGTTGGCCCCGGGTGTAAAAGGAGTGGCCATTGGTGCGCGGCTTCTTGGGGGCCGCGGGGGGGGGGGCAGACACGAGGCGATCGGGGGACCCCAGTGCCTACCACGACATGTTCTTCGAACCTCAAAATTGTTCGAGAAACAAAAAACATGTTCTCATAACATAAGCCCGATGTGCTAAAACAAGAGAATCCCAACCAGAAATGGTCTAAGGACATGTCGTGAAAACCACAAGCGGCTCTTAGAACTTTGTTTGGTAGGCCGATAGGCACGCCAGGACGCTTCGCCACTGCTTGATATAAGTACCGTATCGCGTTCGGCGATCGGGGGGGCCAGTGGGCCCGCAGCAAAGGCCACTCCGGCGAAGGGCCACTCTTACGTGTAGCCGGCCCCTCCTGGTCCAGAGAACGAAGACACCGCACAAGCGTGCGCCCGTCGGAGCTCCGCGCGGATGTCTCGCTTCGGCGCTGCCCCTCGCCCTGGCAAGCGGAGCGCGCTGGGGGCGGCGGCGTCGGATGCGCCGCCAGAGAGGGCCCAGCGCAGATTCAAGAAATCCGCGCGGGCCTCCTACAGTTTGCTCCCGAATCGCGCTGCACTGAAGAGTTCCAATGGAGGTGAACAAAGTCTTCTTCCGTCGGCGACTATAGGCGGGGGCCGTCTGCGCTGGCGGAAGGAGCTAACTAAACGGGGGCACCGCTGGAGCGAATTGGCCAACATGCAAGACCAGGAAGATGAGGCAGAGCAGGCGGCAGCAGAGAGGGGAAGGCAAGGCGAGGGCCACCAGGGGGGCGAGGCGAGGCAAGGCGAGGCGAGGCGACTCCCAGTTCGCCCGTGAGCGCGGCCGCGCGCGGGGCTGGGAGTGGGCGCCGGGGCGCCGCTCATTCAGTCGAGGGTAAATCTGCCTCTATGTGTACGGTGCACATAACCGTCCTCCAAGTGTGACCACAAGCTGCTGTCCGACGCAGCTTGCCGATTCTCCCCACGTGTTGTGCGAACGAATTCTGCCACGTCGTCGATCTGCCACCCAGGGGGGGGTAAACAAAAGCACAGAAGAGCCCCCAAAGGGGAGCGGCGAACCCCGGACCGCCGCCTGGGCTGGCAGCCGCTGCGCCTTCCGCTTGCTCACGAACCCCGCTCTCGCCGGCTACACGTTTGGTCCGGACGACCACGATCCCTTCTGAAAAGCACTACGGTGCACAAGGCCGTGCTCTGACCCCTGTCCCGCGCGCCTAGGAAGCCCCTGGAATCCGCCGACCCTGTCGGCGTGTGTGAGGGGCTTCTCCGTTCGCGTCGTGCTTTCTTTCCTGCTCGACTTTCTCTAGCCGCATCCAGCTTCCACTCACCGTTCTCCCGCTCTCCGTCAGCCTCTTCCTTTCACATGCCGTGCCAAGCAATTTATTGAACGTCGTCAATACTTCGAAGGGGAGCCCCTTCCCTTTTCCATGACCTGCCCAGATGGTCTGGTACCGGAAATTTTCGGTAGCGATTTCGACGCACCCCGAATTTCGGTAGCGACCAGATCTTCGTTTGAGGGCGCTGAAATAGCGGATTTCAGAACGCTCTGATACCGGTATTGGGCGCTACATTTCGGTATTTCGGTAGCGACCGATCTCTGCGGAGCGCTACCGGCAATTTTCGGTAGCGGACCATCAGGGTGGTGGTGGTGTGGGGGGGGGGGGGGCGGACCCGGGGGGGGGTCCCGGGGGGGACCCGGGAGCCCCCCCCCCCAATTCGACTCCCCCGGCAGCCTTCGAGAAAGCCCAGAGGGCGTCGCGAGGAGGTTCTCGTCCTCATCCACCTCATCCTCCTCCACCCTTCTCCTCCTCCTCCTCCTTCTCCTGCTCCTCCTCCTCCTCGTCCTCCTCCTCCTCCTCCTCCTCCTCCTCCTCCTCTTCCTCCTACTCATCATTATCATTATCCTTGCCCTCTTCTCCTACTCCTGCTCCTTCTCACATCCTCCACCTCCTCCTCCTCCTCCTTTCTCCTCCTCACCTTGTTCCTCCTCCACCGCATCCTCCTCTTTCTCTTCCTCCTCCTCCTCCTCTTCCTCCTCCACCTCCAAATCCTCCTTATATTCCTTCACCTCTTCCTTCCTTCTCCTCTTCTGCCTGCTCATCTTCCTCCTCCTTCTCATCATCCTCCTCCACCTTCTCCGCCTCCTCGTCCTCCTCCTCCTCCTCCTCCTCCTCCTCCTCCTCTTCCTCCTCCACCTCCTCCTCCTGCTGCTGCTCCTGCTTCTCCTCCTCATCCTTCCCCTCCTCCTGCTCCTTTCCTCATCTCCTCCTCCCGTCCTATCCCTCCTCCGCCTCCTTCTCCTTTCCTAATCATCCTCGTTTTCTCCTCTTGCCTCCTCCCCTCCTCCTCCTCCTCCTCCTCCTTCTCCTCCTCCTCCTCCTCCTCCTCCTCCTCCGCCTCCTCTTCTTCCTCCTCCTCCTTCTCCTCCTCCTCCGCCTCCTGCCCCTTCTTCTCCTACTGCCCATTCCTTATGTCAGCGGCGAGCCTGAGGAGGACGAGAGAGGGGGGGCAGGTCTTCTCAGAAGACGGCGGGGTTTCTTAGAAGTCATTGAACTTCTGAGAAGTTTTCTGCGTCGTCGGGGAAGGCTTACAAAACTTCTCAGAACGCTCGAGCCATTTCGAGCCTTCTGAGAAGGTCCGCCTCCCTCTCCATTCCCCCTTGGGCTCGCCACCGATTCTCTCCTTCCTACCCCCCTTTCTCCCTTCCCATCCCCCCCTCCCCCCTCCTCCTGGTCCTCTCCCCAGCGCGCGGTCCAAAAGATCTTGCGCCTCCTCCTCCTCCTCCTCCTCCTCCTCCTCCTCCCCTCCTCCCTGCCCCCTCATCCCAGCCCCCTCCTCCCGCCCCCCCCCCGCTCCCTCCCCCGCTTCCCCCCTCCCCAGGGCACACCCACGCGCGCCCTCGGTGGAGGGGGGGGGGCAGGATGCGGCGGCGGGAGGGCGAGGCGGACGGTGACGAGGGAGCAGTGTACAAGGGGAAGGGGGCGTCGAGTGGAGGATGCGACGAGGGCGGCGGAGCCTGGCGACCACGACGACGAGGGAGGCAGGAGATGGCAAGGCACGACGGTGGGACCCGCTTCGCTCGTCCTGTCACCGGTGTGCAGAGGTGGGCCGCGGCACGACGGGGAAGGAGCAGCGGGGGAGGGGAGAGGGCCCTGAGAGGAGGAGGAGGAGGCGGAGGAGGAGGAGGAGGAGAAGAGGAGGAGGAGGAGGAGGAGGAGCAGAGGAGGAGGAGGAGGAGGAGCAGGAGGAGGAGGGAGGGAGGAGTTGGGAGAGGAGGGGGGGAGGAAGAGGAGGAGGGAGAGGAGGAGGTCGACAGGGCCATGGTTGGAACAAAATTGTGGATGGGAGGATGGCGTGGACAACAGCGGGGGCGAGGGGAATCGTCATGTGATTTGTTTGCTATGGCCTCTTGGGAGGCCTTCGCCGCCACCCCTTGTTGGAGCCGATCCGAAATCAGGGGTGGAGGAGCAGCGGGTGGGCGAATGCGACGACGACGCGGGAGGTTAGAAGGGGATGGCGTCGAGACGAGGCCTTCAGCTGTGTTCGGGTGTGCTGTGGTTCTCGACGGTTCGGTTCTCGGGGGGGGGGGGTCGGACGTTTTCAGAATGTCCCAGGCCAGGTTGACGTCACAAGGAAGAAGACGAGGAGCTCTGCTTACCATCATCAAACGCCTGATGCCAACGGCAACGCGACGACCTCGCTATCCATACCTTCTGGCGGTGCGGTCACTACGACAGCGATTCACGTGACAGGACAGTTGTTTTTTTTTCGGTCGGAGCAACATTCGCAGATCATGAACTGCTTGGGTCCACGGTCGGCAAATGTTGCTTAGCGTGTCGCGGTGGCCCAGGCGTCACGAGATGCCTTGCAAACGGATGGCGTGTCACTCCGCTACACGGGACGGGAGGCTGGGAAAGACTCAAGACGTTGCACTTGGAAGTGGAGACGTGGTTAGCGTGTCGCGCCGAAGCGTGGTGCACAAGAACCGATTGCGCGACACGCCATGCAAACAGCTCGTAGGAGTAACAGGAGGGGGGAGGGCGGCTGGAGAGATGTAAGGGACGTGCTGGGTGCGCTCGCGGCATGTCTGACATCCTGCCCCTCCCGCCCAGCCCTTCCCACTGCGCTGCTGTTTCCCTATCCAGAAACGCGTGTCGTAAACTTCGCTTTGTCAAAGCAGGAAGTATTCGCTGTTCTTCTCATTAGCGGGCCTGGAGCCCCAACAAGAAAATCCGCCGACCCTGTGTCGGCGTGTGGAAGAAGCTTTTCGCTCTGCCCCCTCTGAGGCTTTCCTGTCTGCCCCGTCTTCGTCGTCGTCGTCGCTCCTTCCCCTTTCCCAGGCCTCCCCCTCATGCGGCGAAGCAAAAGGAAATTGAGCAATGTCGTAGTCACAAAGTTGAGCCATGTCGTCATTGAGTCGAAAGGAAGCCCCTTCCCTTTCATCCCTTCCCCGCCGGGGGGGGGGGTCCCATGGGGGTCCCGGAGAAGTCCCGTGGGGGGTCCCGGGTTCGATACGACCCCCCCCCCCGGGAATCCCGCGGCTCAACGAAGCCCCAGGACGAGCCAAGAATGTCCCAAAAGACGCTCACGAGACCACGTCCTTGCTCCGTCAACATCTGCGTGCACCACTACCACGCCCGAGTCTCCCCCCCCTCACAACTAACCCCCCTCCATTCCCCCACCCCCCTCCCCTGAACCTCTGCCTCCACCTCCTCCTCCCCATCCTCCTCACCCTCCTCCTCCTCCTCCTCCTCCTCCTCCTCCTCCTCCTCCTCCTCATGCGGCTCCTCCCCCTGCTCGTCGTATTTCTCCTCCTTCTACCTCGTCGTGGTCAGCGTCCTCATCTTCAGGGTCGGCGCCACCGGCCGTAAAGCCTTCGCAATAAGCAGGGGCCTACATATGAAAAGGGAGCTTGGGGGAGGGCTTATTCCGACATCGTTGGTAACTCTTGGGTTTACACTTGTCCTCCTCCTCCTCCTCCTCCTCCTCCTCCTCCTTGTCCTCCTCCTCCTCCTCCTCCAGTTCCTTCTCCTTCGTCTCTTCCTCCTCCTCCTTCCTCCTTTTCTGATTATTAGTCCTCCTCTCGTCCATCTTCTCATTCCTCCTGACCTCCCACCGCACACGCACACACTCCCGCGCGCGCGGGGGGGAGGGCGACGATGGAGCATGCAAGAGGTACGAGGAAGATGAGGGGTGAGGCCGCAGGGAAGAGGAGGAGGAGGAGGAGGAGGAGGAGGAGGAGAAGGAGGGAAGCAGCAGACGACGGTGAGAATCACGACGCTGGTAATCCTCCTCCCTGCCCCTTGCCATCGCTCGGACGTCCGGCCCCCTTGCAGCTTGCGGCTCCGTGCGTTCATGCTCAACCGGAGGATCCAGGATGCTTCTCGGTGGTCCTCGCCGAGAAAAAATGCACACGTCCGAGCGATGCCAAGACACTCCTCCGCAGGAGCAAAAAGCATCGGCACCACCACCACCACCACATCGCCAGGAGACACGAAGGGGGCGCCATCGTGGTGCTGTGGCCTCGCAACCATTCGGCGAACCAGCTCGAGGCATCTCCAGACCATCCCGCCCGCTGGGGGGTGGCCCGGCCGGTGGTCGGGTCGCCCCTACGGGGACCGACGAAACGCCGGAACTTGTTCCCGGAGCAGAGGTCGGGGATCTACTGACCAGCATCAATCCAAAACCAGGTGAGTCGGGCCTCGCAGGATCCTGCAAGACTCCGCAGGATCCCGCACCCAAGCCCGGGTCAATGCACCCCTGGCTCTGCAGGATCCTGAAAGATCCGACGCTCGGACTGACCCCCGTTTGCAATGACCCCCGTCTCTTGAGCCCCGTATACTGACCATCGCTCGGACGTCCACTCCCTGTGTTCTTCTCGGTTTCGTGCGTGGTTGTTTCGCCAAATGATCAAGGATGCTCCTCGATGGTCCTCGCCGAAGGAAAAGTGCACACGTCCGAGCGATGCCAAGTATACAGAGGATGGGCGGCGCGCCTGGCGGAAAGCGAGGAGGGACAGGCCTTCTCAAAGGCGGTGAGGCTTCCCCCGGCCTTCTGAGAGGTTCCCTGCGTCTTCGGGGAAGGTTCAGGGACAAAGCCCGGGAGTCATGTTGCTCCCATCGTGCCCAGAAATAAGTTCGAGCACCCCGAACAGTATCAGAACGGTGTCGATCGAGTATCGCCTCCCAGGGCCCGACACGTGAAAACCCTCCAGTCTCGGTACTTGCTCGGTGCTCGAAGTTCTTCCTGGTGACCCAGGCTCAAGCAGGTTGGAACATCAGAAAGCCCGGGAGCCTTTGGAGCCTTCTGCGAAGGCTTAAGTCGGAAGCGTCCCCCTTCAGGGGGATGTTGGGCGAAACATGAAAAAAACACTCACAATCAATGACCCCCAAATGGGAACAAAGATAGTCAAAAAGTCGTCCCCAGAATGTTTGGTTGACTGTTCTTGGACCTTCCTGCTGTAGAGGGACACGCCCGACTTTTGGGGATCTTCTGACCCGGGTCAATCCAGACCAGGGTCAGCAGGAAACCAAAAACTGCAATGCAGGAAAAAAAAACTGCAACGCAGGTCTTCGCAAACCCGGGTTATGTGCGGCCGCCTCGCGGCCACGAGCGGCTCCCTGACCCGGGTCAGCCAGAGGGGGCCTTCGCAGGATGCTGCAGGATCTGGCGCCCTGGCTGACCCCCGTCTGCATTGACCCTCGTCTCAAGGCTCCCGAGACTTAAGCGAAGGCCCGCCTCCGGCTCGCCGCCGGACAGGAGGGGCGGGGGCGAGCGGGCGGCTGTTGGTCCGCCCGCGGCCCACCGCGGCACGCGGAGGCCGCCGGCGAGCAGGTGGGCCTGCCGGGTGTGGGAAGGGGGGGGGAGAGGAGGAGGAGGAGGAGGAGGAGGAGGAGGAGGAGGAGAGGAGGAGGAGGAGGAGGAGGAGGAGGAGGAGAAGGAAGAGAGGGCGGAGGAGGCGGAGGCGGAGGAGGAGGCGGAGGAGGAGGAGGAGGGGAGGAGGAGGAGGAGGAGGGGAGGAGGGGGGGATAAGAGCGAACGGTCTTAAGATGTGTGTGTCTTCTTACTTGGTCTGAAAATAGTTACTGCTGATCCCCTCGGTGCCAATTGTGTTTTAAATTGCAGTGCTCACCCAGAGGATCGGACCTTGCTTGTATTTAAAAGGGGGGGAGGGCTGGGGGGGGGGGGGGGGGGGGGGCGAGGCGGCCGCGAGCAGCGCCCCGACGGCCAGCCGCAGGTCGAGGCTCGGCGATGTATCATCGGGCATGGGCAGAGCCCCCTGTAGCAAAACGTGGTTTCGTGAAAACGACCTCGGGCCCAAACCTGGCGGGCGCAGGCCTGGAAAATGGCGGTCGCGGCGCCCTCTCGAGAACCGAAAGCGGACAATTCACTAATCGACGTGTCAGGGTGGGGTTCTGGTCCATCCCCGATGTAAGACGAAGCCAAGACGAGGACAAACTCGGGTGCGGTTACGTAGATCGAGAATCTCTTAGATCCGGCGGCTCTGGAGGATGTCTCGGGTGCCGCGGCCTTCTCAGAGCGTTCCCGATCGCTCTGGAAAAGACTTCTCCTCGTCCTCGCCCCGTTCGAACGTGGGCACGGCGAAAGCATCGGACACCCAGATCCCCCGGGGCCAGGGGAGAGAAAAGGCACGGCGGATCCTCTGTTGCTGCTTCTCGGCCTCTGGAGGGCCGCTCGCCGGGCCCCGCGGCCGTCAAGAGAACGACCCAGGATTGAAGGCCGGTCCTGGGGCATTGGTCGAGACCTCTGCGGGCCGACGGTGTTATATATATGGTTATATAATAATAATAATAATAATAATAATAATAATAATAATAATAATAATAATAATAATAATAATAATACTAATAATACTAATAATAATAACAACAACAACAACAATAATAATGATGATGATAAACTATAATCGGACAATGACGTCGGGGGGTCCAGGGATGTGGTCGGCGGCGCTCAGAGGGGGGTAGGGGGCGGGGGGGAAGGCCTGTTGGAAGGAGGCTGCTTCTTAGAAGGCGCCGGACCCACATCTGCAGACAATGCCCCCGCACTTCTTCTAAGAAGCAGTGGCGCTTCTAAGAAGCCTTCCCCCCTCCCCCCTACCCACCTCTGCGCGTGGCCGATGCTTTCATTTCGCAGATATGGTCGGAGGGTCGATGTTCTACAGCCATCGTGCTACCAGGATATGGAACGCGTACTGAGGAACGAAAGTGCTTTTCTGGCTACGGCGGTCCCTTGGGCCACAAGCACGTTCCACGACATGAATCTAACAAACAGCCCGAAAACCCAAGCCCATCCTGAGCTCAAAGCGGTCCTTGTTTCAGAGTCTTGACTGTGGATGCGTCATGACGTCGGGGGTTTGGGGTCGAGGTTCGAGGGTGGGGGCACGGCGAGGGCATCGAATAATCGACAACCAGCATAGGGGAAAGTGAGAGTGGACATGCCTTCGCAGAAGGCTTGGAAGTCCCCCAGCATTCTGAGAAAGTTCCACGCCTTCCCCGAAGATGCAGAGCAAATCTCAAAGGCCGGAGGGCTTCTGAGAAGCCCCGCCGCCTCCTGAAAGGCCGCTTCCTTATCACTTCTCCTCCTCGCTCGCCGCCGAGAATACAGGATCTGGGAGCTGGTGGAGCTCCAATCGTGGACCCGCCATGGATATCACCGCCGACCTCCTCGGATGAGAGATCCTCCAGGGTCTGAAGACTCCTGGGCACATTCCTCAACCAGCGACCCCTCCCTACGGCAAATTGTTGTCGTGAGAACCGTGTTTGGTCGCTGACACCGCGTGGAGCGTTCAATATTAAACGATCGGCGGCTCCTGGAAGAAGAAAAACGCCGTAACAATGAACTTTTGGCGCTCCGCGCGAAGTTCTTGGATCTGCGCTGGACCTTCCTCCCTGGCGCGTGGAGCGCCAAAAGCTTCTGCTTATGGATTTGTTCTTCTCCGAGCTCCTGGATCGCCAGGTCGTTCCATATTGATGAAAGGGGCCCTGGAACACTCAAATCAAAATACACAAATCACAAGATGCCCCATCGTTTCCCATATTTTCTGGGGTTGTCTTCCCCCCCACTTCCCATATTTTTCAATATTTTCCTGGGAGTCGACGATTAATTGTGTCTGTGTCTTTCTTTCCCTCCTGAATTGAGTCATGCAGTCCCGTACTGATGAAGGACTGAAAGCTGAGCCACCGGCGGCGGTTCGGTCTGGAACGTCCGCGGCGTGGCCGCCGCCGCCGCGGCACGACGCGAACCCCTGTCGTGCTTGCTGGGCGGCTGCTCCTGGGATGTTTTCCTGGGATTATGTTGCTCCCATCGCACTCAAGGACCACATCCCAGAAATAATTTCGAGCATGCAGTAAAGTGTCGAAAGAATGTCGAAAGAGTGTCGAAACAGTGTCGGGCGAGTGTCTCTCAGGGTCCGACACGTGAAAGCCCTCGAGCTTGGGGGTACTTTGCTGGTGCTCGAAATTGTTTCTGGTGGTCAAGGCTACAGTAGGTTGGAACATCATAACCGTTGGGCCCGATTACGGGGGCCATCAGAGTTGGGGCCAGTCCACAAGGAACCTTCCACAAGGAACCCCACCCTGAGACCCCAGGACCTCAATTGGTTTCTGGTGTGGGAACTTCCCATTGCAAAACCATCGAAACCCAAGAAACC